CCTGAGTAAAGCGAGGTAGCGAGGAGTCAGAGCCATTCCCTGTTCACCTTAGGGTGCGACAGGGATGTCCTCTGGTGCCTACATTATTTAACATCGTTTTCAACAACGTAGTTCAATAAGCCTTCCATGGTTTTTCCAAGTGAATCTCTATATGGTACAGATAAAATGGAAGGCTGATGGATGCCCAGTTGTGGTCGAGGAATAGATCCCTTTTGTATGCTGATGATCTGGTGATTGCTGTTCAATCAGAGAAGGAGTTGGAGGCGCTGCTGCTTGACCTGGACCATGCTACTAAGAAGCGGGGCCTTACACTCAGCCCCTCAAAAACTGCAGTCCATTTCCTGCAGTCTTTTTATTTTAACGTCAGTATTACATGTGAGCATGCCACGTTTTGAAGCGAATCATTGCAGTTTCTCACCTCTTATTTTTTTTTCCATTTCCATACATTTCAATGATGCGATCCCAGCCGGTGTTATCCTTCCCAATTGTTGTATTCCAGTCTCCCACAAAGTATCGCAATATCTTTCATAGGCAATTCCTTTAACATCATTTACAGCATTTCAAATACAGTAGAACCTCGGAGATCGAACGCACCAGAACTCGAACAAATCGGTGTTCGAACAATATCTGCGAACATTTTTTGCACCGGAAACCGAACGGAATTCGGAGGTCGAACGGGGCAATCGCGACTTGAAAGAAGCTGTACACGGCTGAGACGCGTATGACTCAGCGTGCATGACGCTTGCCCAGACAAAGGTTTTACCGTATGGGACTCTCCTTCCAAACAATAACACCACCACCTCCTCCTCACCACCTTCCACTCAAGCCATCAACTCTCCTTACTACAGGTAAAGTGAAGTTCAATATTCATTTCTTTCATTTATTCCATTTATTTATTGTGTTTTTTGTTTTTTTATGAGTTTATGCATGTAATTACTGTAAACTTCGTGTAAAAATGCTTTATGATGAGAGATTTCTTGTGTCTGGAACCAATTGATGTCATTTACATTAATTCTTATGGGGAAAATTAATTCGCCGTTCGAACAAATCGGTGTTCGAATGGCCTTTTGAACCGAATTAAGTTTGATCTCTGGGGGTACCACTGTAATTCTTAAATATCGTATTCTGATGTTGGTGCATGTATTTGGATGGTAGATATTTAGGGGTTTCCCATGACCTATTTGTTCAAATTATTCTTGCACAAACCGGTCTATACCCCTTTAACGATGATTTGAATTTTGCACTCAACAAGAACCCTACTACAGGTTTTTTTGGGGGGGGTTAGATTACATAAATACAGTATATAAATGTGTCATTAAAATCCGCCACCACCCGACACAGCCAACTCGTAAGGGTTATTATGGATGACTAGCGTTTTGCCCGTCCTCGGACGGAAGCTGTAATATTTACGAAAAAATCGAGCAGAGTATAACTCGTGTAAATTTAATGGCAGTGAATCTTGCACGAAATAATGTCATCAAACACCACACTGCATTTCACTGTAGCACCGTATTAATGGCAGTGAATCTTGCACAAAACGATGTAATTAAACACCTAACTGAATTTCACTGTAACACTGTATTAATGGCAGTGATGCACAAACTATGCCATAAAACACCTAACTTCATGTCACTGTAGCACTATATTAATGGCAGTGAATCTTGCACAAAAAGATGTCATCAAACACTTCACTGAATTTCACTGTAGCACTGTATTAATGGCAGTGATGCTTGCACAAACTATGTCATAAAACACCTTACTTCATGTCACTGTAGCACTGCATTTAACTCACCTTCAATTAGTTCAAAATCACTGCTCTGATACTTTATTTTCTTCTCCTTTCGCTCGCTGGGGTTGGAATCAATTTTAATTCGATACAATGTGTGGAAAATCAGAGAAATGTATATATTTTATCATAATTTAGAAGCAAAACTTCGACTCACCTTTTGATTCAAGTGCTGAAGAAATCAATAAAGACACCAAATACACTTTGTTGCTGCGTATACTTATTAATTTGATTAACTTTAAATAAAGAAACGTCAAATTGAAAGCGAATTGGCGTAAAAAAAATATTCTTGCTCATGATAGTGACGTCACGTGCAGATGAAGCGCTGTGTATATTTATATTTAACCGTCACTTTCTGTAAAGAAACGTCGTCATATTTGAAGCGACTTTGCGAACAAAACAAATATCTTTCGGCTCGACCTTCTTCCGCGCGAGTGTAAAAATCCACCCGCTCGTGACGATGTATTATTAACGACGGGGGACGGAGGGGTGCGGCATGTGGAGTGACGTCACAAGCGTTACACACATTTCTGGGCTATCATAGTAATATCGGTCGCGAAAGCCTACGTGTTAAAACGAACCCTACACCTCTGTGGTGTGCACTTTTTTTTTTCCCCTGACCAGGTCGCTTCACCCCCCCGTTCCTGTCCATCTCATTTCTGCGAGTCCTAGGATTGCCGTACCCCTTGGTATCTTTCTATTTCCTTCCCTAGCCACTGTAATGTCCTCATTCGCCATTCTCAGCCTCGTCATTGTTTCTGAATATGGCCGCTTTGTTTCCTAATGGTGTCATAGCTGCTGCCCCTTCTGCTGGTTTCCGGTAGAGTAATTTTTCGACCCAACTTGCTTGTGTTTTTTCTTCTTTAATTCTTTCGGTAAAGTCACTTAGAATGAGAATAACATAATAAATTGATAAAATAAAATAACACAGTAATATTCTCAGTCTCGTCCCTTCACCTGATGAAGGCCGCTTGTGTTGTGGCCGAAACGTCGTGAGAATATTATTGTGTTATTTTATTTTATCAATTTATTATTTTATTCTCATTCTACGTGACTTTACCGAAAGAACCAAAGAAGATGAATCATTGCAGTCACGAAAGCTTTAAATCGAAATTTGCTTGTGTTTGTTGGACCTTGGTTGACCCAAGCAACGACTGAGCCGGTATCCTTCCTTTTTTTTACACGCTTTTATTTAACTCGCTCTGTCTGTTGTTGTATCCTCAAATCTTGCAACTCAATTTTAACCCACTTCCCAATGTGGTATCGACTGCAAACTTAGCATACTTGTGTCATACTGATGACAATACTATATTGTATCAAAAAGTACGTAACAAGTATTTTGTAAACATTCATTTTTACACGTTATTTTTCGGCTTGGGACTAATTGTCCACGCTCAACTCACGTTGGCTGTAAATCACCACGGTCCCTTATGTTGTGGCAAGCTTCGGGGCCACTTCCTGGAAGCGTGGAGTTCTGCCATTACGAGTAGGGTACATTTCATTAAAGCGTGTTTTAAAAAATATATATTTTTAAATATTACTTAGTCTTCTGTGATTGTCAGGAGCCGAAGAATCAGCACCCTTTCACCAAACCCAAACGCGTTCTACTTCATTAAATAGACTTTTTAATAAATGTTTTCTCCGAAAATATCAGAGTGCACCGCCACATTAAATACGCACTACAATGACAATAGTTTAAAGCGATTTGAAGCATGTTTTATATTTTGGGGGGGGGGGGGGGAGAGCTTTGTGACGTCATATTTGGCGGGGGGGGCCTGACTTTTTGTGACGCAGTGTGACTAAGGGGGGGGGGGGGGTCAAAAATCGTCCAAAATCGCGTGACGTCATTTGTGGATGGCCTTAACAGACTTGGGGCACTGTTCTTAGTAGCGAGCAAAACCTGTGGAAAGCCGGCACTGTGTCACACGAAGGGGTGGGTGGCCAGCCACCGCACCCAGCCGTCTTTGTCTTTCCAGTGGCGATGTGTTCACACATCGCCAACCAGGTACTCATTTGAGGTTGAGTCGACCTCGGGGAGGCACCAGGACCAACTCGACTTAGGGGAGGCACCAGGACCATGAGCGGGAATCGAAATTTTGCAGCACAGCGCTAACCACAGGAACACCGCTTCCCACACAAGAACCACAAATTACCATCCGCCCAGAGAGGCCCCTGTTGGTCGCTGTGGTGGCTACGAGCGCCATGAGGGGAAGCTCTCATGCAAATGAGGCTCCTTAGGGCCTGTACCCCCTCCCCCGCACGTAAGAATGATCTCTCCCACTCAACACAACACCCCGGTCCACATCCACCCACCCCCACCCACCCTATTCATGCGAATGGGGTCGCCCACCTCTGTGCTCGTAGTCCGGTCTGACGGAAAAGTCCAGTAGGTGGCGGGGGTGGGTAGGTGATGTTTTTTGCGAATATTTTCAATAACCGGAAAAGCTGCACGTGGTCGCGGGAGGTTTTTTTTTTGGAAATCCCCTCCTAAACGCTGCTCAGCATGTGAGCGCCTTGCTACTGAGAGGCAGGTGAGTGGTGGGCGAATGAGTGAGGGCGGGTGAGATTGAGTGAGAGTTGGGGGTTTTGTTCACGTGTGGCCGATAAAATGTGTAAAATAATAACACTTGCATTGAGATTCCTAGCACATGATATGTGGCAGTTTATCTAGTCTCAGAGTGACTCTGTGGGTCTCTGTGTGATACTGTGGGTCTGTGCGAATCTATGAGTCTCTGAGTCTATGAGTCTCTCTGTTTGTCTGTGGGTCTCTATGCGAGTCTACCGGTCTCTTGGTATCTGTGCCTCTGTGTGAGTCTCTGTGTCCCTATTTGAGTCTTGGGGTCTCTGTGTGTCTGTGAATCTCAGTGTGAGTTTATGGGCCTCAATTTAAATCTATGGATGACTGTATGAGTTTGTGGGTCTCTGTGTCTGTCAATGCATCTCTATGTGAATCTTTGTAGCTCTTTGCGAGTCTATGCATCTCAATATTAGTCTACGTATCTCAGTGTGAGGCTGCGAGTCGACAGGTATTTATGTAAGTCTACGGGTCTCTGCGTGTGTCTGAGTCTGTGTGAGTCTATGGGTCTCTATGTGAGTCTGTGGGTCTCTGTGTGTGAGTCTATGTTCATGATCATGACGGTAGTGATGGTGATGATGTTGCCTCTTTACGTCTCTCTATCTAACCACCGAATTTCCATCCTGTGACCGATCTCAGGATCGCGACGCAAGCAACTGGAACCCAGGACCCAATGGCGTCTCATCCACGAAACTCAATCCCTGCCTGTCTACTCCTCACCCTCTTCCTCACTATCCAACTCACACAGGCTGAGACATTTCAGAGGACAGGTGAGCAGGAGCAAGTACGTAGGTAGGAGGAAGAAGTAGGCAGGAGGTGGGGGGGGGGCGATGCCAACCCCATTTGCAAGCGGTGATGAAGTTATCGCTTGCAACTTTCATCGGCGGCGAGCCGAGACTAGGCCACTGCGGGTTTGAATGGGGGTCCATGTCTTGGTGTCAAGGACATGGGCCTGCATCCGCTGTTCCGTAATAATGTAGTCCACACAACATCCACGATGTTGTGTTGATGGTCTGCCAAAGAGGAAGCAGCGTGTTGGTGATTACAAGCCCATGGGCTGTACAGAAGTCTAGCAGCCTCCTCCTGTGAATACTGATCTGATTTGGCCAATGCCTTCTAACCACTTCAGCCCAGTTGCTTGCGCTCCAGCTAGTTGTGATGATGTCACTCACCCACTCACCCAGTCACTAATTCACCCACCCACTCATTCACCCACACACCCACCTAATCACGGACAAACTCATCTACTCACTCACACAATCACCCACCCACCTTCGTCCTACGCCACACTGAACCCACCTGAGTTGACCCGAGGTCACCACCATGCCAGCATCAATTCCTGTCGTGCTTTTGCAGATGCCACCAATGATGAGGAGGTGAAGAGGAAGTGTGGATTCTCACTCAAGGCCATTCACGGTCAGACCAACGGCCTGTGTGCATCTTTGTGTGCGTGTGTGTCTGTGTGTGGGCGGTGGTGCAGTGATTAGTCCGCTGCGCTACAAATCCCGGGACCCAAGTTCAATTCCCACTGACGGCCAACATCGGTGACAAATATCTGAACTGGTCATGAGCCTCTCCTAGGTCGACTCAGCCTCAAATGAGTACGTGGTGTGTGAACATCACCCCTAGGGAGACAAAGGCTGCCCAGAGTGGTGTTGGCTACCCACTCCATCGTGTGCCGTTCTAGCCTTCATAGGTGCTCGCGAACGCGCACTGGCCCTAACAGTCTGTTAAGGTTATAGGGGTATCTTTTTTCTACTTTTTTGGGAGAGCGGTAGTGTCGTGGATAGCGCTGCACTGTGCAATGAACCTGACAAAAGACTCGAGTTCGATGTGCAATGAACATCGCCACTGTGGAGACAAAGGGGGGCCTGGCGTGTTGGTTGGCCACCCACCCTCTCGCATACCATGTCGTTCTTCATAGATGTTTCCTAACAGTACCTGCCTCAACAGTCTGTTATGCTTATATTCTTATATACGAAAGTCTCCGCGCGCGCGTGCTTGCGAGGGGTTTGGCTCTCGAACGGTGGGCTTTAGAAAAAAAATTGCCGGGCAACACGCCCTAAGCCCCGCGGGGGGGGGGGGGGTGATAGGCTATTCTGTTTTCTCATCCGTAAACTTTAAAGTAGTTTAATTAACACATTTGTGGCATTATTATTTTAATTATTTACTTATTGTGCGTCATCGACCGTACCAACTGATGATAATTGCCTGGGGGGGGGAGGGCGGACCCTGCCAAGTGATGCGCGTTCGGTCCATATTTGTGTTCTGTGTAGATCAATGTGTGTGTGAGTCTATGTATGTGTGTGAGTCTATATGTGTGTGTAACTCCATGTGTGCATGTCTAAAGTCGATGTCTGTCTGTGTGACTCCATATGTGTGTGTGTAGATCAATGTGTGTGTGAGTCTATGTATGTGTGTGAGTCTATATGTGTGTGTAACTCCATGTGTGCATGTCTAAAGTCGATGTCTGTCTGTGTGACTCCATATGTGTGTGTGCGCGTGCGTGTAAGTCGATGTATTTGTGTGTGTGTGGGTCAATGTCTGCGTGTGTAGGTCGATGTGTGTGTCTGTCTTTTTCGCCGGGGCAACGCCGGGTGCTTACCGCTAGTGGGGGTTATTTGTCTTTGTCGATGTATGTCTGTGTCACCGCTTAGTGACGTCACCGCCACTTAGTGGGGAATGGCGGTTGTTGTTGTTGTTGTGTAGCCACCCACTGTGAACGGCTGGCATAAGTGCCACCTGTTGAGTAAGCACCAAAAGGCACACTTTTGGCGTCATCTGGTCGAACACCATGAGACTGGGCTCTAACAAAAGCTGTCTCTGGTGTGGACCAATCAACGTCAAGGACAATGCATACATTATCAGAGTGCTTGTTTTTTTTTGTTTGCATTTTGACAGCAAGTATTGTGGTTAATGCAAACATGATCCCTTGTAAAAAAAAAAAGGTGTCAGATTTGTTGCCAGACAAAAGGGGAAAAAACCTATTATCATCTAAGGACGTTATAGCAGTAACTGCACGCATCGTGTTGGGTGTTGGGGGGGGGGGCGAAGAGGACATGAGACTGTGAAGAAAAATCTGCAGCGTTATGTGTATATTTATTGCATGTTAAATGCGTAAAATAAAATGTCCCCCGTGAGCTCGCATCACTTGGCAGGGTCCGCCCCCCCCCCCCGCCAGGCAATTGCCGTCAGTTGATACGATCGATGTTGCGCAATAAGTAAATAATTAAAATGCCACAAATTTCAGAGTCTGAGACCAGGAAGAGTGCAGACTGCCCTATATGACATTAGGGGCCGTTCATACATGACGTCACGCACCTAGGGGTGGGGGGGGGGAGTCAGACATTTGTGACGTTCTATTATATTATTGGTTCTTCTTCTTTGGTTCTTTCGGTAAAGTCACGAGGCTTTACCGAAATAACCAAAGAAGATGAATCCTTGCAGTCACGAAAGCTTTAAATCGAAATATTATTGGTTCTTTCTATATTGTTATTATTTTATTGTTTCCCTTCTACGTGCCTTTACCGAACGGACCAAGAATATGAATCCCTGCAGTCACGAAAGCTTTAAATCAAAATTTAACGCGTTCTACTTAATTAAATAGACTTTTTAATAAATGTTTTCTTCTACAACATCAGAGTGCAGCGCCACATTAAATACGCTCTACAATGACAATAGTTTAAAGCGATTTGAAGCATGTTTTATATATATTTTTTGGGGGGGGGCAGAGCTTTGTGACGTCATATTTGAGGGGGGGTCTGACTTTTTGTGACGCCATGTGACGAAGGGGGGGGGGGGGGGTCAAAAATCGTCCAAAATCGCGTGATGTCATTTATGGACAGCACCTTATCACAAAAGCCTAGATCACTGGATGTGTTTCCCAGGATGCCCTGGTGGTCCTCCTCTTTCAGAAGGGGGACCGCACAGATTGTAACAACTACAGGGGCATCTCTTTCCTCCTCAGTGTGAGGACGGCAAAGGTCCTGGCAAGGATAATTCAGCACCACCTTGCCAGGCACGCTGAGATGAGGGTAGTAGAACCCCAATGTGGATTCAGGCCAGGGCGGTCCTGAATGGATGCCATATTCTCTGTTCATCTGCTGCAGCAGAGGTGTAGAGGAATTCCAACAGGACCTACATCTCTGCTTTCTTGACCTGCTCAAGGCCTATGATATCATCAGTAGACCAGGGCTCTGGATTGTTTTTCGTAATTGTGGGGTTCCTAACTCTCTCATCACAATCATGGAGGACCTTTTTTATGGCGACCAGGCCTGAGTAAAGCCATTCCCAGTCACCTTGGGGTGTGACAGAGATGACCCCTAGTTCCTACAATATTGAATATTGTTTTTCTAGCACTAATTAAAGAAGCTTTCCATGGCTGTATAAGTGGAATTTCTATATGGTATAGATCAAGGGATGCCTCCCTCTTTATCAGCCACTTGATGTATGCTGATGATATGGTGATTGCTGCTAACTCAGAGGAGGAGTTGGAGGAGTTGGAGGTGCTGCTGCTGAACCTGGAGCTTGCTACTAAGAGAGAGGATCTTACCATCAGCCCCACAAAAATAAAGCACCTGCATGGGTATATTATGTCATCAAATGCTCACCTCCCTCAACTCTCCATGAATGATAGGACAGTTGGGCAGATAGTGGAGAAGTTTCCATTCCTGGGAAGTGTGCTTATGTCCAGCTCTGGTTTGGCAGCAGAGATCTTACTTCGTGTCAATCAAAGCGGCATTATATTTTCATCGGCTGCGTAACGCTGTATGGGTCTTCTCGTCCACAGTTCTGCACTCCCTTCACTATGCTTGCAAAACCTGAAAGGAAAATCTGCACAAGTTTTAAACATTCAGGCTGGCCAGCCTACGATCCATCCTGAGTTAACCAGGCTGGATTGTGTGACGCACTCACACATCCTTGAAAAATCTGGACACAATCCCATCAATGAGCTCCTCCAGCAGGCAAGGCTGCGTTGGCTTGGTCATGGAACATGCATGCTCAGCCACCGCATCCCCAAACAGCTTCTGGTTGGCCAAATAGAGGAGGCTAAATGGGTGCCACGGGCTTCAGAAGAGATGTACTGATGTGGAGCTGAGTGGACTTGCCGATGACCAGTGCCAGCAGTGTCAATATCGGCCTCTATTTAGAAGGCTTGGGAACAACAAGGGCGGAAGAACGACGCTCACAACAACGAGCTGAAAATCGGGCGGATAAAACGCAGCAAGTTAGCACAGTAGGGGGCACAGCTGGTGCATTTGCCAGCCATCTCAGTCAGTCAACCCTTGGTACCAAGGTCTGTCCCGTGACCTCCTCCTGCACCTAGTATGGCAAACGTCAACTCATGGCACCTGGATTTGTCCTGAACCTCCTGCCAGTGAACCTTTGCCACTACAAATGGCCTAAAAGTGCACATAGCCAGGCACAAGTGTTGGCGAATGGAAGTTGTTGTCTGTGTGTGTTTCTGTATGCGAGTCTGTGTGTCTCTATGCCTGTGAAACGTGGAATCCTGAATGAGGAGGAACGTCTGTGCCGGTTTGAGACACTCAGGCTGGGCCCTGCTGGCCACGATCCATCATGGGTTCAACCAGGGTGGATCCCAGCGCGAGGAGGAGCCCGCAGATCCTTAGATACCGGGGGGGGGGGGGGGACTGAGGAGCGGGCGGGCGCCATGACAGAGGTTGCTAGGGATGACGTCATCACCCGCCAATGCTCCACCAGCGATGATTTATAAATTACGTTAGAAGGGTTATCGATGTTGATGATATAGTAGAATACAACAACCAGGCCAACACAACTCCCCCTCGTTGCATGCAGTAGCCACGTCACAGTGAGGTGGCCGTGTCCACGGCCGCTCGTGCGTTTCACGTAGGAGCCACCGCGGTGCGAGACACCCCGTCGATGGAAAGATGTACGTGGGAAACGGTGGCCCTCGCCATTTATAGAACTGCGTCGATCAGTCCGTACTTGGCTTGTCAGTCTGTGATCCACTCTGTCATTCGCTCTGTGATCCACTCACTGATCCACTCTGTGATCCCCGCAGTGATTTGCTTCGTGATCCATTCTGTGATCTGCTCTGTAATCCACTCTCTAGTCTGTGATCCACTTACTGATCCACTCTGCGATCCGCTCTGTGATCAACTCTGTGATGTACTCTGTGGTCTGTGATCCACTCTGTGATCCACTCTGTGAGCTGCTCTCTGTGATCTGCTCTGTGATCCGCTCTGTGATCCACTCTGTGATCCACTCACTGATCCACTCACTGATCCACTCTGCGATTCGCTCTCTGGTCTGGTTGAATGCAGACTGCAAGTACCAGAAGTGCCAGGAGGCTTCGGCCTTCTGTGCAGTAATAACTCCTGCGGCTGAGGCCGGCGATTTAACAGGTGAGTGCCTCTGTGACCACAATGATTTATCCACTGCTGGCTGAACCGCTACCCCCTGATGATGATAGATGTTTGCAATGGTAATGTATGTATGTATGTTGAATGGTGATATTAGGGAGCGGTGGTGCAGTGGTTAGCACCACACCGCGCTAGGAACCCAGCTGAGATCCAAGTTTGATTCCCGCTCAGAGCCACCACCAACGCCGGTGACGGTTATCTGAACCATTCTTGGGCCTCCCCAAGGTCGACTCGACCTCAAATGAGTACCTTGCCTGGTGTGTATTCAACATCAGCACTGGGGAGACAAAGGCGGCTGGACGTGGTGTTGGCCACCCACCTCCCCCGTGTGCCGTGCCGGCCTTCATAGGTACTACTCGCGAACAGCAGTTCGACAGGTATGGTTGGCTACGTGCGGTGCGAAAGAAGTAAAAAAAATACATCTGTAGTGTCGTAGCTCTCTTCCTCTCCCTCAAGGCGTGTGTGTGCCTCTTCTCTCACGAGCACACTGCCGTACGGCCCGGCCCAGACACGAGCCTGTTCACGTTGCACCGACGGTGTCAACCGAGACAGCCGACTACTGTCCGGCCGCGCAACGATCGGGCGAAGGCGGCGACGAGACGAGTCAACTCCCAGAACCGGCAGCCCAGAGTTCTCGCTCTCCGCTGCTTTTATTCCCCTCGGCGCGGCTTGGCTCCGCCCTAGCCACGCCTCCCCTCTCGAACCCACCAGAGGGTTCCAGGGGCCTCCCCACGAGGTTTACCGTGACCTTTGCCCCAGTTCCTCCGCCCTGCCGGCACACAGCAGCCGTGTATATGCTCAACGGCGTGTGCGCTAAGTGCCCACTGCAGTTGCTGCTGCTGTAAAGCAGTCGGCGCTCTGTCTCTACACATACATGCATAGACTTTGCCCCAACAGCCTGTGTGGGCTATATGGGGGAGCTTTGTCTTGTCATATAGAAAATGCTGATGGTGTATATCAGGGGTGGCCTACCTGTAACAGACCAAGAGTCACAAAGTACCCATAAGTTCTGCAAAGAGCCAAGTGTGTGTATATGTAAGTGTGTGCATATATATTGACAATTATCGGCACAGCAAGGGAGACATTCATTATTCTTCGCTACTACTGTCATAGCGCGTTCTACATTGTCCTTTCGATAGAGCTACATGTGGCGGATTAATGAGCCGCATTCGGCTCTGGAGATGCTGGTTGGCCACCGCTGGTCCATATGATGATGATGCTGCTGCTGCTGCTGTTGATCAGAATGTACGTGATGCGGGTGATCCTCAATCACAGTGCTGATGGTGATGATGCTGATGTGACTTGTGCAGACTGCCAGATCAAGCACTGCATGCAGGAGAAGAAGAAATGTGAGGAGCCGCTCAACAAATTCCTCTCTAAAGAGGAGAGTGAGTGCAGCCACAGAGCAGTAGCCACTAACTCAAAACCCTAACCGTTAACCACTATCCGAGCAGATGACCACTAACCATTACCTACTAACCATTGACCCCAACCGTTAACCACAGTCTCATGATCGTTAACCACTAACCCTGACCACTAACCCGAATAGTTAACCACTAAATATTAACCCCAACCGTTAACAACTAACCATTAACCACTAACCATTAACCCCAACCGTTAACCCCTAACCACTAAACCAAAGAGTTAACGACTAACCATTAACCACTAACCATTAACAACTAACCTCAACCATTTCCCACTAACCCTAAGAGCTCACCCGAACCATTAACCATGACACTCCAACCGTGAGCCACAAGCTTTAGCCCCCACACTCATCTCTAACAACTACCCCTGACCCTTAGTTTATTGTCCTTCCTCTGCACCTCCGATTAGCATGGTTGACTACGTACGGTGCCAAAGACGTTCAACATACACACAGGCATCTATAACCCAGAACACTCATTTCTAAGAGGTGGGAGAACCCACATTTTATCCCGCTAATGAAACTTACCGTGATGATAGCTATGTGTGGCCTTCATGGATATAGCAGGATTTATAGCATTAAAGGCCTGGATTAATTGGGGTTTCTGTCATTAAGGGTATGGATTTAGTGGGGTTCCAATCATTAAAGAAGTGGATTTTGTGGGTTTTCTATCATCATGCTCGTGGATTTAAAACTAAAACTCAACTTTTATTTTTTATTTTACCAGGTAAGGCCCACTTAGCTATACAGCTCGTCTTCAGGAGCAACCTGGCCACAATTGCTCAGCGAAGTAACTTATCACGTGGAAATGTATAGCAGCCAAATGCTCTAAACGCATGACATTGTTTCTAAATGAGGAGGGGGAAAAAGTGGAGGACCCAGAGACAAATCCATGTGACCAGGGGGAGAGAGACAGAGATGCATCCAAACGCTAAATATACAGATGTCAGTGTCGGGATCGAACCCACGACATCCTTGTGTTTCCATTCCCCGATGCAGAATGTGAGGGCAACAGATTCAACGATGTGGAGATGGGCTGCCTGCTGAAGTTGCGCACATCTCTGGAGCAACTCACAGGTGAAGAGACGACAGGAGCAGGCACCAGCAATCTTGTGTAGTATTGTAGTATCCATCTTGTGTAGTAGGGCAGTGTCCATCTTGTGTAGTAGGGCAGTGTCCATCTTGTGTAGTAGGACAGTGTCCGTCTTGTGTAGTAGGACAGTGTCCGTCTTGTGTAGTAGGACAGTGTCCATCTTGTGTAGTAGGACAGTGTCCGTCTTGTTTAGTAGGACAATGTCCATCTTGTGTAGTAGGGCAGTGTCCATCTTGTGTAGTAGGACAGTGTCCGTCTTGTGTAGTAGGACAGTGTCCATCTTGTGTAGTAGAGCAGTGTCCGTCTTGTGTAATAGGACAGTGTCCATCTTGTGTAGTAGGGTAGTCTCCATCTTGTGTAGTAGGACAGTGTCCATCTTGTGTAGTAGGGCAGTGTCCATCTTGTGTAGTAGGGCAGTGTCCATCTTGTGTAGTAGGACAGTGTCCATCTTGTGTAGTAGGGCAGTGTCCATCTTGTATAGTAGGGCAGTGTCCATCTTGTGTAGTAGGGCAGTGTCCATCTTGTGTAATAAGACAGTGTCTATCTTGTGTAGTAGGACAGTGTCCATCTTGTGTAGTAGGGCAGTGTCCATCTTGTCTAATAGGACAGTGTCCATCTTGTGTAGTAGGACAGTGTCCATCTTGTCTAATAGGACAGTGTCCATCTTGTGTAGTAGGATAGTGTCCATCTTGTGTAGTAGGGCAGTGTCCATCTTGTGTAGTAGGGCAGTGTCCATCTTGTGTAGTAGGACGGTGTCCATCTTGTGTAGTAGGACAGTGTCCATCTTGTGTAGTAGGGCAATGTCCATCTTGTGTAGTAGGGCAGTGTCCATCTTGTGTAGTTGGACAGTGTCCATCTTGTGTAGTAGGACAGTGTCTATCTTGTGTAGTAGGGCAGTGTCCGTCTTGTGTAGTAGGGTAGTGTCCATCTTGTGTAGTAGGACAATGTCCATCGTGCATAGTAGGACATTGTCCATCTTGTGGAGTAGGGCAGTGTCCATCTTGTCTAGTAGGACGGTGTCCATCTTGTGTAGTAGGACAGTGTCCATCTTGTGTAGTAGGACAGTGTCCATCTTGTGTAATAGGGCAGTGTCCATCTTGTGTAGTAGGACAGTGTCCATCTTGTGTAGTAGGACAGTGTCCATCTTGTGTAGTAGGGCAGTGTCCATCTTGTGTAGTAGGACAGTGTCCATCTTGTGTAGTAGGACAGTGTCCATCTTGTGTAGTAGGACAGTGTCCATCTTGTGTAGTAGGGCAGTGTCCATCTTGTGTAGTAGGACAATGTCCATCTTGTGTAGTAGGGCAGTGTCCATCTTGTGTAGTAGGGCAGTGTCCATCTTGTGTAGTAGGGCTATGTCCATCTTGTGTAGTAGGGCAGTGTCCATCTTGTGTAGTAGGACAGTGTCCATCTTGTGTAGTAGGACAGTGTCCATCTTGTGTAGTAGGACAGTGTCCATCTTGTGTAGTAGGGCATTGTCCATCTTGTGTAGTAGGACAGTGTCCATCTTGTGTAGTAGGACAGTGTCCATCTTGTGTAGTAGGACAGTGTCCATCTTGTGTAGTAGGGCATTGTCCATCTTGTGTAGTAGGACAGTGTCCATCTTGTGTAGTAGGACAGTGTCCATCTTGTGTAGTAGGACAGTGTCCATCTTGTGTAGTAGGACAGTGTCCATCTTGTGTAGTAGGGCAGTGTCCGTCTTGTGTAGTAGGACAGTCAATGTCTTGTGTAGTAGGACAGTGTCCATCTTGTGTAGTAGGGCAATGTCCATCTTGTGTAGTAGGGCATTGTCCATCGTTTGTAGTAGGGCAGTGTCCATCTTGTGTAGTAGGGCAATGTCCATCTTGTGTAGTAGGGCAGTGTCCATCTTGTGTAGTTGGACAGTGTCCATCTTGTGTAGTAGGACAGTGTCTATCTTGTGTAGTAGGGCAGTGTCCGTCTTGTGTAGTAGGGTAGTGTCCATCTTGTGTAGTAGGACAATGTCCATCGTGCATAGTAGGACATTGTCCATCTTGTGGAGTAGGGCAGTGTCCATCTTGTCTAATAGGATGGTGTCCATCTTGTGTAGTAGGACAGTGTCCATCTTGTGTAGTAGGACAGTGTCCATCTTGTGTAATAGGGCAGTGTCCATCTTGTGTAGTAGGACAGTGTCCATTTTGTGTAGTAGGACAGTGTCCATCTTGTGTAGTAGGGCAGTGTCCATCTTGTGTAGTAGGACAGTGTCCATCTTGTGTAGTAGGACAGTGTCCATCTTGTGTAGTAGGACAGTGTCCATCTTGTGTAGTAGGGCAGTGTCCATCTTGTGTAGTAGGACAATGTCCATCTTGTGTAGTAGGGCAGTGTCCATCTTGTGTAGTAGGGCAGTGTCCATCTTGTGTAGTAGGGCTATGTCCATCTTGTGTAGTAGGGCAGTGTCCATCTTGTGTAGTAGGACAGTGTCCATCTTGTGTAGTAGGACAGTGTCCATCTTGTGTAGTAGGACAGTGTCCATCTTGTGTAGTAGGGGCATTGTCCATCTTGTGTAGTAGGACAGTGTCCATCTTGTGTAGTAGGACAGTGTCCATCTTGTGTAGTAGGACAGTGTCCATCTTGTGTAGTAGGACAGTGTCCATCTTGTGTAGTAGGGCATTGTCCATCTTGTGTAGTAGGACAGTGTCCATCTTGTGTAGTAGGACAGTGTCCATCTTGTGTAGTAGGACAGTGTCCATCTTGTGTAGTAGGACAGTGTCCATCTTGTGTAGTAGGGCAGTGTCCGTCTTGTGTAGTAGGACAGTCAATGTCTTGTGTAGTAGGACAGTGTCCATCTTGTGTAGTAGGAAAGTGTCCATATTGTGTAGTAGGGCAGTGTCCATCTTGTGTAATAGGACAGTGTCCATCTTATGTAGTAGGACAGTGTCCATCTTGTGCAGTAGGACAGTCTCCATCTTGTGTAGTAGGACAGTGTTCATCTTGTGTAGTAGGGCAATGTCCATCTTGTGTAGTAGGGCATTGTCCATCGTTTGTAGTAGGGCAGTGTCCATCTTGTGTAGTAGGGCAATGTCCATCTTGTGTAGTAGGGCAATGTCCATCTTGTGTAGTAGGACAGTGTCCATCTTGTGTAGTAGGGCAGTGTCCATCTTGTGTAGTAGGACAGTGTCCATCTTGTGTAGTAGGACAGTGTCCATCTTGTGTAGTAGGACAGTGTCCATCTTGTGTAGTAGGGCAGTGTCCGTCTTGTGTAATAGGACAGTGTCCGTCTTGTGTAGTTGGACAGTGTCCGTCTTGTGTAGTAGGGCAGTGTCCGTCTTGTGTAATAAGACAGTGTCTATCTTTTGATTTAAAGCTTTCGTGACTGCAGTAATTCATATTCTTAGTTTTTTTCGGTAAAGTCACGTTGAAGAGAAACAACAAAATAACAAAATATATATAAAACAATAAAAAATTCTCACGACGTTTCGACCATAACTCAAACGGTCATCATCAGGTGTGTCGGTTTGCATAAATTTATTTTTAAAACGGCACATTTATTTATTAAAAAAAAAACGTTGGCATCATGCGCAGCGATTGGCAGTTTGCCCAGGACTAGTCCATCTATTTTTTTGAAAAGAGGAGGGGGGAGACGACATTTTTTATAATGTATGCTGTCTGAAAGCCACTGTAAGCGTGAACAATCAATCAAGAACTGAAATGATTTATCAAATCTTTCCAATGATTGCTAAGATAGAATCCATCTTCTCGGTTGAAATTGTCTCTGTGCTTGTATATGTGGATAGCCTCATGAACGAATCTCTCATGGAAGCCAGATGGCTTACAAAGAACCTCCGTCTTGGAAAAGTCAATGGCATGTGAGCCTACTGAATTAGAACAATGATCTGCTACGGCCGAGGTGTTGGTCCTACCGTGTTTAAGGTCTGCTTTATGTTCACGAATGCGGTCCGAGACATGGCGTTTGGTTTCTCCAATGTAACTACTACCACAGAGGCAACTTAGTTTGTAGACACCAGGGTATTGTATGTCCGGAATCACATCTTTTACAGACGGAACCAGATCACGGATTTTATGTAATGTGTTGAAACGGACCTGGATCTTGTGTTTATTCAAGATTTTGGAGATCTTTTTTGTGATCCCAGCAATGTAGGGTAAAGTGATGGTTTTGAAAGGCTCCTCAAGAGGGTTCTTCTTCATGGTTTGAGTGATAGCTTTGCGGATTGTATAGTCGGAGTAACCATTAGCCCTAAGAGCTTGGTGTACGTGCTTGAGTTCACTGCTTATGTGTTCCTGGTCGGATATGCATTGGGCTCTATGATACAGAGTCTTGATGAGAGAATTCTTCTGTGATGGATGGTGGTGGGAATCCGGTTTCAGATAAGCATCCGTATGGGTAGCTTTCCTGTAGACAGAGTGGCTCATTGAACCATCAGGTCTCTTTTTAATTAGGACATCCAAAAAAGGTATCTTGCCATCTATTTCGACTTCCATGGTAAATCTGATGGCTGGGTGTATGGAATTGATGTGGTCGAAGAATTGGTCTAGAGCAGGCCGGCCATGTGGCCAGATGACAAAAGTGTCATCAACGTACCTCTTCCATAAGGTTGGGCGCAGAGTGGCAGTCTGGATGGCGTCAGTCTTCCGGACATACAATACCCTGGTGTCTACAAACTAAGTTGCCTCTGTGGTAGTAGTTACATTGGAGAAACCAAACGCCATGTCTCGGACCGCATTCGTGAACATAAAGCAGACCTTAAACACGGTAGGACCAACACCTCGGCCGTAGCAGATCATTGTTCTAATTCAGTAGGCTCACATGCCATTGACTTTTCCAAGACGGAGGTTCTTTGTAAGCCATCTGGCTTCCATGAGAGATTCGTTCATGAGGCTATCCACATATACAAGCACAGAGACAATTTCAACCGAGAAGATGGATTCTATCTTAGCAATCATTGGAAAGATTTGATAAATCATTTCAGTTCTTGATTGATTGTTCACGCTTACAGTGGCTTTCAGACAGCATACATTATAAAAAAATGTCGTCTCCCCCCTCCTCTTTTCAAAAAAATAGATGGACTAGTCCTGGGCAAACTGCCAATCGCTGCGCGTGACGCCAACGTTTTTTTAAAATAAATAAATGTGCCGTTTTAAAAATAAATTTATGCAAACCGACACACCTGATGATGACCGTTTGAGTTATGGTCGAAACGTCGTGAGAATTTTTTATTGTTTTATATATATTTTGTTATTTTGTTGTTTCTCTTCAACGTGACTTTACCGAAAAAACTAAGAATATGAATTACTGCAGTCACGAAAGCTTTAAATCAAAATTTAATCGCCTCTACGGGGAGGGTTTTCACCTAACTTTAAGATCCTTCAACAAACTCCGGGATAAGAAAGCTCAGCTGATCGAGTCTCTCACCTTCCTGAAGAGATGCCGCGACTCTGGGGTAATACCAATCGCATTTACACTGACCTCTGCTGCTGTAACTTCTTCTAATGCGAAACGAATTCTTTTCAAAACTAGCTTAGCTCTTATCTCAGAAAAAATCAGACTTATACGCACAGAACTAGATCAGTTAGACAAGACACTCTACAAATCACACTTATCATTGACGGCAATAATGTCCACATCAGATTGGGAACATGTAGACAATATGACTGCCTCTTCAGCTGCTACTATGTCGACCAAATGTAAGGAAAACCTGATTTCCAAATTTAACCTCCTCTTCAACAAAAGACCGGACCCACACACCAAAAAGTTAGACGTTAATAAAGTCGTAATTAATCGCAGTAACAGTTCTATTTCCGATGGTCTGAAATCCGTTTTAGCTAAAGGTCTAAACTTTGCAGTCACACCTAAACACATACCAGTTAATGATATAATTGCCCAAGTAGACGTTGCTCTCAGGGGCCTGGGTCACATCGCTGCAGACGTAGCAAGATCTGAAATCGCTGCAACCCTCAAAAACGCTAAGATGCCAGCTAGCAACCTCAGCAAAGATGAGCGTTTTGAATTATATAAATTAAAAAAGAGGAATGATATTGTAGTTCTCTCAGCTGACAAAGGCAATGCTACTGTCATCATGGATAAAATAGAATACAACAACAAAATTAAAGAATTACTCGACGATGGTAGTTATACAAAAATAAAAAGAGATCCCACCAACAGCCTCGTCACACAAACCAACAAAATAATTTCTGATTCAACCGCATTAATTGATCAATCTAAACAGTTTTCGTTGAAACCTTCTGCTGCCAGGCCACCAAGATTATACGGCTTACCAAAAATACATAAAGTTGATACACCTCTTCGTCCCATAGTCTCTACTATCAGCTCCCCCACCTACAAACTAGCTCGTTTTTTGTCTGAAATCCTGCGTCCTTTCACTGGAAAGACCACCTCTGCGGTACAAAATTCTACTCACCTGGTATCAACAATCAAGGGTATTTCCCTGTCCCCAGACGACCTGCTTGTCAGTTTTGATGTAGTTTCCTTATTCACCAAGGTTCCTGTAACTGACACCATTGCAATCATTGAAGACTTGGTTCATCAAGGACTAAACACTGAGGTACCCCCCCTGGTGAGACACTGTTTAACCAATACATACTTCACTTGGAATGGAACTTTCTACAAACAAACTGAGGGCACCCCAATGGGCTCCCCCCTTTCTCCAGTTATAGCTAACATTTTCATGGAGAAATTTGAGACTGACGCCATCCAGACTGCCACTCTGCGCCCAACCTTATGGAAGAGGTACGTTGATGACACTTTTGTCATCTGGCCACATGGCCGGCCTGCTCTAGACCAATTCTTCGACCACATCAATTCCATACACCCAGCCATCAGATTTACCATGGAAGTCGAAATAGATGGCAAGATACCTTTTTTGGATGTCCTAATTAAAAAGAGACCTGATGGTTCAATGAGCCACTCTGTCTACAGGAAAGCTACCCATACGGATGCTTATCTGAAACCGGATTCCCACCACCATCCATCACAGAAGAATTCTCTCATCAAGACTCTGTATCATAGAGCCCAATGCATATCCGACCAGGAACACATAAGCAGTGAACTCAAGCACGTACACCAAGCTCTTAGGGCTAATGGTTACTCCGACTATACAATCCGCAAAGCTATCACTCAAACCATGAAGAAGAACCCTCTTGAGGAGCCTTTCAAAACCATCACTTTACCCTACATTGCTGGGATCACAAAAAAGATCTCCAAAATCTTGAATAAACACAAGATCCAGGTCCGTTTCAACACATTACATAAAATCCGTGATCTGGTTCCGTCTGTAAAAGATGTGATTCCGGACATACAATACCCTGGTGTCTACAAACTAAGTTGCCTCTGTGGTAGTAGTTACATTGGAGAAACCAAACGCCATGTCTCGGACCGCATTCGTGAACATAAAGCAGACCTTAAACACGGTAGGACCAACACCTCGGCCGTAGCAGATCATTGTTCTAATTCAGTAGGCTCACATGCCATTGACTTTTCCAAGACGGAGGTTCTTTGTAAGCCATCTGGCTTCCATGAGAGATTCGTTCATGAGGCTATCCACATATACAAGCACAGAGACAATTTCAACCGAGAAGATGGATTCTATCTTAGCAATCATTGGAAAGATTTGATAAATCATTTCAGTTCTTGATTGATTGTTCACGCTTACAGTGGCTTTCAGACAGCATACATTATAAAAAATGTCGTCTCCCCCCTCCTCTTTTCAAAAAAATAGATGGACTAGTCCTGGGCAAACTGCCAATCGCTGCGCGTGACGCCAACGTTTTTTTTTTAATAAATAAATGTGCCGTTTTAAAAATAAATTTATGCAAACCGACACACCTGATGATGACCGTTTGAGTTATGGTCGAAACGTCGTGAGAATTTTTTTATTGTTTTATATATATTTTGTTGTTTCTCTTCAACGTGACTTTACCGAAAAAACTAAGAATATAGTGTCTATCTTGTGTAGTAGGACAGTGTCCATCTTGTGTAGTAGGGCAATGTCCATCTTGTGTAGTAGGGTAGTGTCCATCTTGTGTAGTTGGACAGTGTCCATCTTGTGTAGTAGGACAGTGTCCATCTTGTGTAATAGGACAGTGTCCATCTTGTGTAGTAGGGCAGTGTCCGTCTTGTGTAGTAGAACAGTGTCCGTCTTGTTTAATAGGGCAGTGTCCATCTTGTGTAGTAGGGCAGTGTCCATCTTGTTTAGTAGGACAGTGTCCATCTTGTTTAGTAGGACAGTGTCCATCTTGTGTAGTAGGGCAGTGTCCGTCTTTTGTTGTTGGACAGTCTCCATCTTGACAATTTAATGACAAAGCCAATGCTGTTGATGATGATGCTGATGACGATGTTGCTACTGCTGATGATGATGTCGTTGTTGAACAGTATGCAAGAGGGACGGATATCTGGAGGAGAAGGTTTACTGTTTCAAGAACGAATGGAAGCGCAGAATTGGCGCTTATGGTGAGATTCCAACTGCCTGCTCCCTTCACCCCTCTCCTCTTTCCAATGCCAACGTTAATAAATACATTGGTTTGATGAAACAAAATCGTTGTACTCACTTGCCGTTGCTTAATTTGTTTTTCGATTATTTACCTTCTAAAATAATCTGGCCATGTATCGCACTCACAGAAAGGGAATCTTGCACCCCCAGGGGGTGCGTGCACCCCAGGTTAAGAACCACTGATCTAGAGAGAGGCCGGTTCCATGCTTCTGCACTCTCTCGACTCAATTACAGCAAGGCATTCCCATTTGGGGTTCCGAGTCAGGTGCCAAGTGACTCCAGCTCGTTTAATAACGCATCTCATTAAGCACTCGTGCGTGTGCCGTTCAGCGAGCACATCTCACACCTGCCCTCTCGTCTCTGCACTGGCTAGCAGTCTCAGGTTTCGAGTGAACTATCATCAGCTCCTGCTCATGACCTACAAGGCGCTCAAAGGATGTCGGCCCCACGACAGCTGCAGGAACTGATCCAAACGAGCTCCCCTGAGAGTCCAAACTAAACTAAACGACTATAAACTATTTTTTTTATTTTACCAGCTAAGGCCCACTGAACTATGTAGCCTTTTTTGAGAAGTGGCTTAGCATGTGGAAATGTATAGCAGCCAAATACTCTAAACGCGTGTTTAAAAATGTGGAGGGAAAAACCAGGGGACCCGTAGAAAAATCCACGCAGGCATCGTCAGGATCGGGATCGAACCCACGACCTCCTGTATACCAGGCGAGGTGGTTAACATCTTCCCGCCACCATGGCGCCCTGAGTGAGCCCCAGTGAACCCGCCACCACCTGACACAGCCAGTCAATGAGTGGTTTAGTTACGTAAAGAAAACGTTCCAATTAATGACTACTTCAGCACCAACCAGTTGTGTGTTGAAGAGTAAACCCGTAACAATATTTACGATTCGCATCACTGTGACGTTTTGCTGGTGACAACAACAAGCAGCTTCATAAGGTGATGAGCCAGAATTGTGAAGAAGTCTTCCTGTTTCGGACTTAAATTGAGGAGTATTATGGATAAAATTGGGTCGCGTAAGCCCTCTCGGTTAAACTGATCTGTCTTGCCGACTCACCTCTGTAAATTGGCCTTTACCCTCCTAGTTCTGGCCGTTTTCCCTTGATACTGGTTTATTCCCTAATATCTGTGCATGGCGCGTTGGGATCTTAGGGATGAAATGCGCCTTACAAATTCAAATTATTATTCCAGCAAAAAGTGTGGACTAATCTCCATGAGTTCACATCAGTGGTCTCCACCTTTTCTCCTTTGCTGCTGTTTGTTTCCAGCCACGGACGAGCTGAGGAAGACCGCGACACCAGAAGCCATTGGCAAGTCTACCCACAAATAACAACGCTCACTCGCTCAACTCAATAAAAAAAACCTCCCGCATAGTCTTAACAGACTGTTGGGGAAAGTGCTGTTAGTGACCACCTACGAAGGCCGGCACGGCACGCCACAGATAAAAGCTAAAACTAAACTCGTTTCAGAGTCTCCGGGGTGAGGACAGCCATCTATGATGTCTCCTGGAATGCCTGAATGTTCACTGTGGAGGGGCGGCTGCCATTCCTCTGACGGGAAATGGACCAGACCTCGATGGAATACAGGAGGTCCGGTGGACCATTTCAGCTCCAGTCACCATATGGGGTAGACAGTCCTCTACTCGGGGCAGGGAACTGCCAAACAACAGGGAGTGGCTCTGCTTTTGAACAAAATAATCATTAAGGGGGTTTGGGGTCATGAAGTTGAGGTGTGGGAAGCTGTCAGTCCCAGGCTACTGTGGGCTCGCCTCCCCATCAATGGGAGATGAGGAATGGTGGTGGTGGTAGCTAAGGCCCCCACTGGAAATAAACAGTGGAGGGATGCAGGCAAGGCCGATTAGTGAGATGCCTTCCATGACCCCCTGTCACAGGTGCTAGCTAAATTGGCCCCTCGGGATAGAGGCATCCTATTGGGTGACTTTATTGCCCAAGTGGGTAATGACCCAGTCAACTGGGCCGGAGTCATTGGAAGGCATGAGCCAAATCAGCTCAATAACAACGGTAGGAGGCGACTCGACTTCCATGCAGCCTTGCGATCCCAAACAAGCTGTTCCACGAAAGCCACATCCACACACCAGGGAAGTACGCCCAGTCCAAGGGAGACCATCTGCTGAACCACAGCAGATGATGCGGGCCCATGTCCTTGATACCAGGCGTTACCGTGGAGCTAATTTGCCCACTCACCATCAGTGTGTCATCTGTAAGATGCGCCTGCCATTTTTGCACTGGTGGTGGGCATCCCCCGAGGACTCCATTAAAACCGGCAGTGGCCTGGTCTCAGCTAGCTGAGGATAGTGACAAGCATGAATTTCATCACCGCTTATAGCTGGGGTTGGCATCGTCCCCCCTCCTCCTGATGCCGAGGGGAAATGAGTGAGGTTGAGAACTGTGGCTCATGCCCCCAACAGCCTGTTAGAGGCTCTGTTACACTGTGCCCCCTGTGTCACCTCCTCATGGCAGACTGCGCGTACAACACTTGCTTCCAGAACGTGACTCGGTGCCTCTACGACCACCACCACGATATGGCCATCAACCCAGGTAGAGATGTCCCCCACCACGCAATCTCCGACTCACCCACTCAGTCACCCATACACCTACACGCCCATTTACCCACCTACTCACCTTCTAAGCCACTCACCCACTCCTCACTCACCCACTCCTCACTCACCCACTCGCCTACTCATCTATACACTCTCTCACTCCCCCACCCACTCACTCACCCACTCACTCACTCGCTCACCCACTGAGTCACTCAATTCTGTCGCTTCCTATCACTCTTCCTGTCTCCCTCCCTCTCTCTCCCGCAGCCTCTGTGCGGAGGTTTGATCTGGCGCATTGCGCCTATGTGGCCATCAACTACGCTCACGGTGAGACTCGCGCTATATCTGTGTCTGCCTGTGTGTGAGTGAATAGGGGGCTGGTGTAGTCAGGTTGCCATGTGCACGTCTGTCTTTGTAGTGTGGAGCGGTAGTACGGTGGTAAAACCCAGCGACCTGCTTTCGATTTACGCTCACAGTCGACACCTGTGACGATGGTCTGATCCGGTCCTGGGCCTCCCCTAGGTCGACTCAGTCTCAAATGAGTACCTGGTGCAGTGGGTAAACATCGTCTCTGGGGAGACAAAGGCGGCCGGGCGTGGTGTTGGCCACCCACCGCTTTGTGTGCTGTGCCGGCCTTTCATAGGTGCTACTCGCGAACAGCACTTGCCCCAACAGTCTGTTCAAGGCTATACGGGGGATTTTTGCCTTCATTTTTGTTGCGTGTTTGAAGATTAGTGAGTGCAATGGGGTGGTAACTACTGCGCCTTAAGCACCTTCATCAATAACCACTGAGAAAAGATCAAAACCAAGCATTTGCTGGAGGTCCCGGGGGGACAGACGTCAATGACATCTCCTGGCCAAACCTCATTTCTGGAGGAACCCCCTCTTCAGGAAAAGGGGGTTATCCTCTAAAGGCAAACTATTTATAAAGGTTTGAAATGGGCGTAGCCCAAGTGTCAGCAGCATGGGCAGGGCAGCTAATGTTGACGTACGTGATGGCACTCGTAGAGTGCAACGATGGCGCTGGTGGTCGGTTTCCACCAATTAAAGGGCTAGCAAAGTAATCATTGCACCTCGCTTTGCACACTCACGCTTGACACTGTGGTAATGGGTGTCCACCTATGACTCCATTAAAACCCCCAGTGGCCTGGTAGCGGCTTACTGCTGATGAAAGTTGCACGAAAATCAACATCGCTTGCAGCTGGGGTTGGCATCGTATCCCTCCTGACTGCTGATGCCGAGAGGAAATGGGTGAGGTTCAGGACTGTGCCGCATTGGGTACGCGCTCCAAACCTCCCCAGAGATCCTGGCTGACCAAAGAGGTTTTCTGGCTAACTGAGAGAAAGCGACAGGCCATCTCCCACCGTCTACAGCATCGTTAGCCTTGGAGAATGTCGAGGCTAACGGCATGCTTCGCTCAGAAGTTTGGAGAGCCGTGCGGCACTGCAAGGATGAGTGGTGTTTGCTGCTTCTAAAATGTAATCTGCGACATTTCAGGCAATGGCCCTTCCTCAGGGCACGCAGATAACCGTGTGAACTGTGTCTGTGTCTGTGGTTCCAGAGTGCGAGAGCATTCCCAGGCTCAGTGGCTGTGCAGAGAGGTTGGCGACCTGCATAAGCGAACACCCCGAATTGCCTGGTGAGTTGGTGGGTGAGTGGTTTATTTCGCGTGATCAGGTGAGGAATAAAGAGAGACCAGGATATGAGGGACCTGGGTTGTCACCAGAATTGCAAAACAAATCAAGAAGAGTGATGAAGCAGATAGCAATCAGTAAAAAAACGACCAATTAAAGTTTAGAACAAATAATGTTGTGTTCCCCCTCTCTCCCTTCCCCCACTTCCTCCCTACACCTCCTCCTCCCTTACCTCCTCCTCCCTCCATGTCCTCCTCCCTCCACCTCCTTATACCCTCATCCACGTCCTCAACCTCCACCTCCTCATACCCTCAACCACTTCTCTAAAGGAATTACTGAGGTGGTGATTGGAGGGGCCTTTGGCGGATTGGCGATTATCGTGGCTATCGTACTCGTCGTGAAGAGGAAGGATATCGGTATGGCCACCACTCCGCCCTCCCACTCTCCCACTCTCCGTGACGTCACACGGATCGTACTTGGAAGGCTGCCACTGGGGTGCGCTGTAATGGGATAGAAGCGGACATGACATAACAGCGGACACTTAGAAATTGGTGTGCCTTCGCCGATCCAAAGCATCCGCTTTTATTTTTACTTAAAAACCGCCGTTAATGGAGCTAATTTATGCATTCATTGTCAGTCTATTCTAACACTAGACGAGACTATTAAAACACTAGATGAAACCGCTATGTTGATTAGCTATAACAAAAAAAAGTATATTCTTTGGGTCTTTTCGGTAAAGTCACGTAGATATGTTCAAAGAAAATAACAAAAAACTACGACGTTTCCATCGCAGCACAAGCGGTCGTCATCAGGAAAAGTGGGTTAGCCTCTAAAGGCAAACTGTTTATTAAGGTTTGAAATGGGTGTAGCCCAAGTGTCAGCCGCATGGGCGGGGCAGCTAATGTTGATGTAAGCGATGGCACTCGTAGAGTGCAACGATGGCGCTGGTGGTCGGTTTCCACCAATTAAAGGGCTAGCAAAGTAATCATTGCACCTCGCTTTGCACACTAATGCTGTTGACGGTGGAGATTGCTGCCAGAGGTGTGATGATACTCGTAAAGGGCCACAACGGCACTGGTGGTGGGCTTCCACCAATTAAAGGGCTGCCAGGTCTAAAATGTTTACATTACAGCCAGTTATGAGTTAAACTGGTTGATAATGTCCTCCACGACGACACTGCTGTGAGAGATTAGCATGTCATTGTAAGCGAACCACCGCAATGGTGGCTGTGCTCGTGAGACATTTGGCGTGTATGTAACTCAGAGTGTCGTAAATAACTGCTAACATAGGTAGGTAGGAAGGGAACAACACAGCCAGTTATGACCTAAACTGGTTAATAACGTCCTTCCAGTCATTGCTGAGTTTGTACCCATCTTCTCGATTGAAATTGTGTCTATGTATGTATATATGGATGGCTTCAAGAAGGAATCTTTCCGACAGCCTAAAATCGGTTCTAGCTAAAGGGTTGAATTTCGCAGTCACAACCTAAACACATCCCAGTGTATGATATCATTGCCGAGGTCGATGTAGCCCTTAAGGGTTTGGGACACATTACTGCAGACGTGGCAAGATCGGAAATCACTGCAATCCTCAAAAACGCTAAGACACCTATCAGCAGCAGCAGTAAGGATGAGCGCTTTGAGCTTTCTCAATAAAAAAAGAGAGATGACATCGTCATCCTCTCAGCCAACAAGGGCAATGCCACAGTCATCATGGACAAAACCACCAACAATAACACAATTCAGGACCTACTTAATGATGGTAGCTATACAAAAATTAAATAATACATTTTCATTTTTTTTTATTCCGCGGGCAAATAAATGAGCAGAATCAAAACATGTAACCAATGCAAACGAATCTTTCCTTGAACGAGCCGGTCACGTCATGGTCAAGTGGCACGACCCCCCCCTCATTTCCCCTTTTATCGTATTACAGTGCCTCTAAGGCTGGGCCACACGACAGCAATCATCGCCCCCTTACTAGCAGCAGACAAATGCGCAAGTACACTGGAGCCTGCCCTAGGCTGCGCATCAGCTACTGCTGTGTATTAGTGCCACCTGTATATCTGCTTGCAGTAAGTTACATGAGTGGCTTTATCCACTGCTGGACGAATCTCTCTCGCACGCAGAGAGGGAGTTTCAACGCTAATTTGGCTGTGGTTGCGCTGGTCTCAGAGTGGCCGCGAAAAGTCTTCCAGCAGCGCGCAAATAAGGAAATCAACAAGGATCAGTTCACAGGTTTAGACGATCACTCAGATGATCAATTACATGCTCACTGACACACTCAAGTCACTCACCCACTCGCACATCAGCCCATCTCCTTGTCCTTATCCTGCACATCCAATTCAAAATAATACTTTCATTTCATATAGCGTCATTCATACCAATAGCATCCCATAACGCTGTACATTAAATATATAAAAGCACCAAATCCTATATGCAGCCGCTACCAAGCAAATGAAAACCTTGCTACCAAGGAAAACTATAATAAATAAATAAACTAATGGCATCAACGCACAAAGAACAACAAAAGTTATCATGAAGAAAACAGCATGGTTGGCTATGTATGGTGCGAAATAAGTAAAAAATACATACATCAATACCCGGGTGCACCTTGAGGCCACATGAAGTGTCGAAAGCTCGCTGACAGGTCACGGTATAGACCCACGTGCCATGGGTTGACCGACTGAGATGAATGGCCGATGCAGCACCTGTGCCCCCTACTGTGCCAACTTGCTACATTTTAGCGGCACGGTGCTCTGCTCATTGTTGTGAGAATCGCTCCTCTGTCCTCCGTTGTTGTTGGAGGGCGACTGCCTCCGACTGCCCAGTAGCGTCCTTCCCGAGCCTCCTCCACAAAGGTTGATCTTGACACTGCTGGTACCAGTTTTCGGCAACTCCACTCAGCTATATGTCCAACTCTACCACATCAGTCCATCTCTTCTTGAGCCCATGCCGTGCCCATTTAGCCCCCTCTATCTGGCCAATTCGAAGCTGCTTGGGCATGCGGGCTACATGACCCAGACAACGCAGCCTCCTCACCTGCCGAAGGAACGCACTGATGATGGGACTGTACCTAGATCTTTAAAGGATCTGCGATCTCCTCACACTGTAATCTAGCCTGGTTAAACCCATGATGGTTCGTAGGCAGGCCATCCTGAATGTTTAAAATCAACGCAAATGTTGTTTGAGAGGGGTTCACGTTTTGTAAGCATCGACAAGGGATGCTTACAAAAAAAACGTAAGCATCCCTTACGTTTTGTAAGCCAGAAGGCCCAGAGCTTCATATTGAACGATAGACCAGGTAGCTTCTACACAGAGCTACGCACCTTTTGATTATCACGGTTGGCTACGTACAGTTCCAAAGAACTTATACATACATACATACATTCCTTCACACATCTCCCCAAAGATCTCACCAAAATGCTCAGGAAGCCTGCAAACCTGTTCCTGCAGGTCGCAGATCTAATCACCATTCTTTCCCTTAAAGATGGCAATAGGTGTGTGGCGCTGCAAGTTACACTTTTTGCTGGAATTACAGGGCGAGTTGCTATCGTGAGTTACTGACGCAGGTTCCATATCCTCAGAAACCCGCGACCACTGCTCATCCTTGCAGCACCGTTGGGAGAACTGTGAGAGACAGAGAGAGACACACAAATACAGAGATGTTGATGCTGATGAATTCACAGCTGCAAAACTACGGAACTGCCGGGGAGGCTCCACTGTCGGCCAGGGCAGCTCCACTGTCGGCCAGGGCAGCTCCACTGTCGGCCAGGGCAGCTCCACTGTCGGCCAGGGCAGCTCCACTGTCGGCCAGGGCAGCTCCACTGTCGGCCAGGGCAGCTCCACTGGCGGCCAGGGCAGCTCCACTGTCGGCCAGGGCAGCTCCACTGTTGGCCAGGGCAGCTCCACTGTCGGCCAGGGCAGCTCCACTGGCGGCCAGGGCAGCTCCACTGTCGGCCAGGGCAGCTGCACTGTCGATGTGCAGGACTTCGATGCGCAGGATCCCACTGCCACGGAATTGGTTGATGAAGGTTGGTAGTGAAATCTGACCTCTCCGCTACTCCTACGCCCTCCCATCCTGACCCCGCCCACCCCTACTGATCCTGCCCACCCCCACTGACCCCGCCCACCCCTATTGACCCTGCCCACCCCTCCTGACCCCGCCCACCCCTACTGACCCCGCCCACCCCTACTGACCCTGCCCACCCCTACTGACCCCGCCCACCCCTACTGACCCTGCCCACCCCTACTGACCCTGCCCACCCCTACTGACCCCGCCCACCCCTACTGACCCTGAACACCCCTTCTGACCCCGCCCACCCCTACTGACCCCGCCCACCCCTACTGACCCCACCCCTACTGACCCTGCCCACCCCTACTGACCCCGCCCACCCCTACTGACCCTGCCCACCCCTATTGACCCCGCCCACCCCTACTGACCCTGAACACCCCTCCTGACCCCGCCCACCCCTACTGACCCTGAACACCCCTCCTGACCCCGCCCACCCCTAATTTCACCCACTCAGTGTTTTCAGTTTCATTTATTTGGTATAGCCCTGTGAGGCATTCGGCTCTTGAATCGAGTGCAACCACAACAAACAAAAAACATGAACAAGAAAACATCTTAAAGTGACTATGTGAAAACAGAAAAATCCAGGAAAAAACTGCAAAGTCTTCCAGAAAAAAGCACCATACACCAATGCTGTGCAAAAATCCAAGTGGAATGCAAGTCAAACAACACCAACAACAACCACAAGACAACTTAGATTAAAGCCATCAGTCTAACTCCGTACTACAATAAACAAACATGGCCAAACCAAAAAACGTTTTCGAAATCACAAAAAATAAAGCCATAAGCAATGTAACAGTGATCATAGGGACTGTGACCGAAATTTCACAATAAACGACATAAACAACATGTACCACCAAACCCTGTAGCCATAGCTGGCTGCATGAGTCACTCCACAACAGCAGGAGCATCAGTAGGAGTATCCAAATTTTTCAAATGCACCTTTTAAGATCAGCACACTAAATCAAAACACAAGATCATACGTTGCAGCGGTCATCTGGAACGAAAACATTTGATTTGAGGCCACTGAATAGCAGTGCAGCTAGGGGTGTACAACTCCTCTAGAGCAGTTTTGAGTGAAGATCTCATAGGTAGTGATTCAAGTTGCAGTTTATTGGCAATAGCATTCCAGACCCTAGGGGCATCAATAGCAAAGGCCCTTCCTCCAGTATTTGTACGGCAATAGGGAATGTGAAGCTGGTAAATGAGCAAAGACCTTAGGTCACATTTGCTCTTCGAAACAGAGAGGAGATCCAGCAGGTAATTTGTGGATTTTTGTAAGTACATTGTGAATAAATAAGATCTGGTGCACAAACCGTGGAACATTAAGTTCAACCCAATGTAGAGATCACAGTGGTGAGTCCTATATGGGCTATTCAATGCAAATCTTAAGGCCGAGTGATAAATTGAGTCAAGCTTCTTCAGTACAGTGCTTGGGGCTGATTTGTATATGATGTCACAGTAATCAAGTAGAGGCAGTATGGTAGCTTTTATCAATTCCAAACGGAACATAGGGGGGAAGCAGTGCTTGTGTCGATACACAAAACCTATTTTCATTTTTATCTTTTTACCAATATAATCAATGTTATCTTCAAATTTCAGTTTTGAATCCAGGATGACCCCAAGATACTTATAGATCTTGACTTGCTCTATTTGATAATTATTTAAGGAATGTAACGGGGGGGAAATTAACTTCCTGCTTTAGTCCTGGTGAGAAGCATAGCACCTTGGTTTTGGAGGTATTCAGAACTAGTTAAGAGCAACTAGCTGATGTTGTAGTTTGTTGAAATCACCCTGGAGCTTAGCAATCACCTCATCCGGAGAGCGGTCAGCAGTAATCAGTATCGTGGTCATCTGCAAAAAGATTTACCCTGGAATGATCCAGGTCAGTGCCCAAGTCATTGACATAAAGAGAGAACAAGTGTGGGCCGAGTCTTCTGCTGAGCAGGATCAGGAAAGTGTTATCACTGAGCACGCGCATAATCAATCAGTCGATCGTTCTAGAGATCAGCGGAAAATGCTTGTTTTTGGATTATTCGTGAATTAAAACTTCCCGCAGCCATCCTCCCCATCATTAGCATGGATAGTCGAGAGTCTACTGCGTGTGTTCAATGGCTTCATGCCGCCCCCTAATCGCCTCCTCTTCATTCTCTCCCCACCCTACTCCTGCAGATTCAAAACTCCTGAACAAAGGACAAGAAACTGCATAGAAGAGAGAGTAGGCAAGATGTTAACCACCTCGCCTGGTATGCAGGAGGTCATAGGTTCTATCCCGACCCTAAAGCTCGCTGTATATTTGCATTTTGCATGTCTCCCCCCCCACCCCTGTGGTCACTAGGATTATTTTTTGGGTCTTCTGGTGTTGCCCTCCACATTTTGAACGTGCGTTCAGAGTATATTTATTCACTTTATTTTTATTATTCTTTTTCTATCTACGTGACTTTACCGAAATAACCAAAGAATATTAATTCCTGCTGTTAGAAATTTCTGCTTGATAAGCCACTTCGTTGAGCTATCATTTGTGGCCAGATCACTTCTCAAATAGAGCTAAATAGTTCAGTGGGCTTTACGCGGCTTCTATTTGTCCCGACGAAACGTTCCGAGTTTGCTGCAGGACCAGCCACGAAGTGAGAAGGTGAGGGTACGAGGAGGTTGATGGAAGATTGAGATCACATTTCGTGTTATCGGCGGTGGTGGTGGAAGTGGTGGTGGTGGCGGCGGTGGTTGTGGTAGAAGTGGTGGTGGTAGAGGTGCTGGTGGTAGTGTAGCAGTGGTGTAGCTGTTAGCGCTACAATGCGCTATGAACCCGGCGACCCGAGTTCAATTCCCATTCGCGGCCAACACCAGTGACGATTATCTAAACCGGTCCTGGGCCTTCCCTGGGTCTACTCAGCCTCAAATAAGTACCTGGTGCGGTGTGTAAACACCGCCACTGGGGAGACAAAGGCGGTCGGGCGTGGTGGGTGGGTGGGTGAGTGAGTGAGTAGGTGGGTGGGTGAGTGGGTACCATCGGGCACTCCACCCCCACAACTCCCAATCGGTGATGGGGCAGTTGTGGAGAGAGTGGAGAGTTCCCCATACCTGGTGTTGTGTATATATATAGGCCTTTTTTCAAAAATGTATATTGAAAATAGTTCTGCCATTTTTTAAATAAAACACCCTCAAACCCGCTACCTCCCACAAGCACCAAGCATCTGGAGGTCGTAAAAGGCTATTAAATAATAAACTCCGGGGCAAAGGGAGGTTAACGACGATCTGCAAAATCTCCAGATTGCCAAAGGACTACATGCCATGACCTGCTTGGCGCTTTGGACAGTTCACAAACAAATATCCAGAATCACAGGCACGGACACAGAGCACAGGGCAACCGACATTATAACTGATATTTTTTTTGTATGGAAAAAGTTGAAGCTTGGCTATAAGAATAAGTCGACATTATAGACTGCAGTATTCCTTATATTATTTCTTATTGTATCTTTCTATCTACGTGACTTTACCAAGAGAACCAAAGTACATGAGTTCCTGCAATCACGAAAACTTAAGTCCAAACTAAGCTATATCTCTGACCTCGAGAATGAAAAAAAACACGGATCCCTGGATGCAGACAGGGAGCAAAAAATAATAAAACCCTTGAAATACCGGAGGTAACATCTATTGACATTACAAATCTTGGTTAAACATAAACCAAATAATAATCACGAGAGATTAGACCTAGGGTAACTCAAAAGAGATACAAGAAAATAGGTCAAACACACAAGACCACATAATATGTATTCCATGAAATCAGAGCCTCCCCGGCCGCCTTTGTCTTCCAACAATTTGACACAAACACATGGTAGCCATAAATACGTATGAAAGGTGCCTCTCCTCCCTAATAGGAGAGACCACGAAGAGAGGGGTTGGGAATGCAAACAAACAAAATGTGATGGTAAAACAGTCAGTCAAAGGTCAAAGGGGGGGGGGGGGGCAGCCAGGCCGCTGCTGCCATGGGAAGAGAGAGGAGAGAGAATTTCACATTTAAGCTCGGCTAGGGACAGCTCTGCAAGGAGGAGTGCTGCGAACGACAGAGTCTTGCAAAGGGGCAGTCTTGCTAAGGGGCAGGCTGGCGCCGGGGCATGGCCTCGAGAGCAACCATGGGTGTCGTGTCTCACAGAGAGAAGGGACGATGTGTTCTTAAGAGCTGAGTTCGGCATGAACCGACAGAGTATCGCTGAAAGTTTTATTCTACATTCATTCTGATGTTATGAGTCGCTTGCAGAATCGAGGATTGTGATAAGCTGTATTGTACTAAGCTATCAGAGTTGTGTAAGAGGTGTGAAAATACAATTTTCAAGTTTTGAGAGTGAGTGATCCGGCCAGCGACGAGCAGCTCACAGCAAGAGCCCTCCTGGAAGAAGGGTGAAGAGCACGAAAGTTGAGCAGCAACGACAAAGCGCAGCCCTGAAGTAAGGGCGGGTGTCCGTGTGAAGCTGGCAGCTGCACGATCAAGGAGAGAGCAAGAGAAATGAGAGAGAAAGAGTGCCGAGCGACGACAAGCACTCAACCTGGAGAAAGGGCGGAAAGCGCCAAGCATCGACCAAGCCAGCATCACAGAGAACCAGCTCCACCGAGCGAGGGTGTCTGCCACCAGCGAACGAGCTGCACGCGCAATCGAGCATCGCCAAAGAGCACAGAGCCGGAGAGAGCTCGCAGCAGCGCCACCAGCGCCACCAATCAAGGGTGCCAGCTGCCAGCGGACAAGCGTTGTGCCGACTCGGCTCATCCAGCAGGGGAAAGAGCCTGACCAGCCGCCCGTGAGGAAGAGGAGAGCGCCGGCGAGAGCGCCGTGGGTTCGACCCACACTCCCACCAGCGTCACCAAGCCAGGGTGCCAGCTGCCAGCGGACAGGCTGCGGGTGCTATCTGACGACGGGATCATCGCGCACCGACGGCGAGCGTCGTGCCGACTCTTCCACCCAGCTGTGGACCGAAACTGTGGCCGCCCCCGAGCAAGAGAGAGAATGAAGCCGTTTGTATGACCCTCCCCCACACTCACACGCTCACGACGCATCGCCCGGCGTCTGCTTTACGCAAAGAATTGAACAAGTGGCATAGAAGACACACAACACGCATATCCGGACAAATAAGATTGTTCCAAAAAGTTATCTTCGTGTTTTAAAAAGGGTTGCCATTCCAAGGTGGTGCGTTAAATATCAACTGATCGTGAAGAACATTGCTGCCCATTGAGTTACGTGGATATGGCCATTTAGAAGTATTTTAGTCGTTCGTTTTTTTCCTTTTTAATGGCATTATCTTAACAACGAATTAATTTTAATAACTACTCTTGCCTTCGGGACATGTTTCTTTATTGTCCTTCACATGAATATCGTTGCATGAATTTTTAAGGACTTTTTCCTATCACCATATATGCTCGCGTTACTCTAAGGATTTAATCAATTATTCTGTTACCCAGTTTAACAACGTGATCATTGAGCGTTAAATGTATGGATCGATGAGGAGAATATCTCCAGGAGTACTGTGTTGACAATTCCAAGCATAAGAGTTCGCATGTTAGAGTGTTATGTTTTTGTTTAGAAATTAAAATTGCTTAACACAGAAGTGTCTGAGTGGTGCCTTCCTAAGTTCATGCGTAATAATATTAATTATAAGAACTGTATCCTGCGGTGAGATTTGAATTTGTGGAGACCTGAAATGAAAACACTAAGACATAATCAGTAAATGTTAAAGCGAGAATAATTGTATTATACTGATTGATAATACGAACTTAGACAACGAAGCCGAGCTTAATCTAGCATACTTACAGTACACCTGCATAACTTCATACAATTAATTGTACGATCCCGATTGATAATACTACCCTCGTCAGCGAGGCAGGGCCTAATTATCATAATGGCTTGCATTAGCATAATCGCATGCAATTCAATAACGTATTACGATTACACCCCTAATTAGCATAATTTATGCATAATTTCATCCATTTACATATTTTTGCACAATTACGCATATTCTACAAATTTCATTTTTTTTTATTTTCATTCAATTTTCTAGACCCAATATATACAACACTTGGCAGTGTGCTCACGAACGGCTCCAGTTTAACAGCAGAGGTCTCACTCTGAATCAGTCAAGCGGCATTATCTTTTCATCGGTTGCGTAACGCTGTGTGGAAGCTACTGGTCTGTCGCTCCGCACGAAGCTTCAGGTCTTCTCGGCCACAGTCATTCCCTCCCTTCTCTATGCTTGCAAAACGTGGACCCCCCCTAATGGAACATCTTCGCCGGTTAGAAACATTTAGGTTGGCCTGCCTACGATCAATCCTGGGTTTAACCAGGCTGGATTGTGTGAGGAGCTGACAAATCCTCGAAAGATCTGGACAAAGTCCCATCGATGAGCTCCTCCGGCAGGCAAGGCTGTGTTGGCTGGGCCATGTAGCCTGAATGCCCAATCACCGCATGCCCAAACAGCTTTTGTTCGGCCGGATCGAGGGGACTAAATGGGCGCGGCACGGACTAGAGAGAGAGATGGAGTGATGTGGTACAGGAGGACGTGGAGCTGAGTGGACTTGCCGATGACTGGTACCAACGGTGTCAAGATCGGCCTCTGTGGAGGAGGCTCGTGAAGAATGCTACTGGGCAGTTGGAGGCAGTCGCCCTCCAACAACAACGGAGGGTCAGAGGAGCGACGCTCACAACAACGAGCGGAGCGCCGGGTGGTTAAAGCACAGCAAGTTGGCACAGTAGGGGGCACAGGTGGTGCATCAGCCAGTCATCTCAGTCATCTCAGTCAGTCGACCTGTGGAACCTGAGTCAGCCCCGTGACCTCCTGCCAGCGGACATTCGACACTTCACATGGCCTCAAGGTGCACGTGGCCTGGCACAAGCATCGTGGTGACGTCACCGCCACTTAGTGGCGAATAGCGGTTGTTGTCGTGTGGGTGAGTGAGTGGGTGAATGAGTAGGTGGGTGAGTGAGTTGGTGGGTGGATGGGTTGGTGGGTGAGTGAGTGGGTGGATGAATTAGTGGGTGGGTGAGTGGGTGGGTGAGTGGGTGTGTGGGTGAGTGAGTGGATGGGTGAGTGAGTGGGTAAGTGGGCAGGTGAGTGGATGGGTGAGTGAGCGGTGGTGTAGCAGTTAGCTCGCTGCGTTACACGAACCCGGCGACCCGAGTTCGATTCCCGCTCACGGCCACCAACACCGGTCCCGGGACTGGGGAGACAAAGACGGCCGGGCGTGGTGCTGGCCACCCACCCCCTCGTGTGCCACAGTGCCTGTAGTCTTCATAGGTGCTGCTCGCTAACAGCACTTGCCCCCAACATTCTATGCAGGCTACACGGGGGATCTTTGTAGTTATGATTGCGTCATGACGTCACCACGTCGCGAAAGAGCTTTAACGCAGTTCGCAATTAAGTTTTTTGCCCGTTATGTAATCCGTGCGACATGACGTCACGTCCCTGCATACTAACACAACGTGCGTCATGACGTCGCTGCAGCAGTTACCCCCCTCCCGTCACCTTTGCGCGGTGACATTTCATTTATTTTGGTCGAGCCCTGTGAGCCATTCGGCTCTTGAATCGGGTGCAACCGCAACAAACAAAAAACAGAAACACGAACAAGAAAAACATCTTAATTAAAGTGGCTATGTGTGACTGTGCAAACGGAAAATCCAGGAAAAAAACCAGCAAAAATATTCCTGAAATAGTACCGTACACCAACGCTTTGTGCAAAAATCCCAGTGGGATGCTAGTCAAACAACAACAACAAAAACCACAAGACAACTTAGATTAAGGCCATCAGTCTAACTCCGTACTACGATAAACAAAAACATGGCCAAACCAAAAACCGTTTTCGAAATCACCTAAATAAAGCCATAAAAGCAATGTAACAGTGATCATAGGGACTGTGACCGAATTTTTAACAAAAAACGATATAAACAACACGTACCACCAAACCCTGTAGCCACAGCTGGCTGCATGAGTCACTCCACAAACAACAGGAAGAGCATCGGTCGGAATATCAAACATTTTCCAATGCACCTTTAGGATCAGCACGCTAAATCAAAATACAGATAATACTTTGCAGCGGTCATCCGGAGAGAAACATTTTATTTTAGTTTCTAGAGTTGAAGCTTTCGTGACTGCAAGGATCCATACTCTTTGGTTCTATTCGGTAAAGTCACGTAGGTTTCACTCTAGCGCTGTCCTCGAGACAGTTTGGTCCCTTTCACCTGAAGAAGGCCGCTTGTGTTGTGGCCGAAACGTCGTGATTTTTGTTGTTTTATTTTGTACCTACGTGACTTTACCGAATAGAACCAAAGAGTATTTTATTTTAGGCCACTGAATAGCAGTGGTAGCTAGGGGTGTACAACTCCTCTAGAGGAGTTTTGAGAGAAGATCTCATTGTATTCTTAGCTCTTTCGGTAAAGTCACGTTGAAGGGAAACAATAAAATAATAAAATATATAAAACAATCAAAATTCTCACGACTTTTCGACCATAACACTAACGGTTTTTTTAAACGGTTTGTGTTATGGTCGAAACGTCGTGAGAATTTTTATTGTCACGAAAGCTTTAAATCAATCTCATTGGTAGTGATTCAAGTTGCGGTTTATTGGCAATAGCATTCCAGACCCTGGGGGCATCAATAGCAAAGGACCTTCCTACAGTTTTTGTACTGCAATCGGCATCAAGCACGACGTGGTGACATCACTTTACCCACGAGCGGAATCGTAATTTGCGGCATGACGTCACCATCACGTTGCGTCTCATAATCGTACGTCATGATGTCAGCACGTTGCGCTATTTAAATGACCAATTTCCCTTTAAATTTCGATTTATAAAGTTTTCGTGACTGCAAAGATTCATCTTCTTTGGTTCTTTCGGTAAAGTCACGTAGAATGAGATTAAAGTAATACATTTAATTTAATAAAATAATAAATTTAATTTAATAAAATAATAAATGAAATTTTATAAAATAATAAATTTATCATTTTATTCTCGTTCTACGTGACTTTATCGAAAGAACCAAAGAAGACCAATTTCCCGTTTGTCATGACGTCACGTCTCCCCAACCACCCTCGTACGTCATGACGTCATGCTTTTCAACACACTTTTTTATGATGTGCGTCATGACGTCACATCCCCCTGCCTTTTTTTACGTCGCGCGTCATGACGTCACGGCCTCCACGTCGTTATATTTTTTTACGCAGCTCGCATTTTTTCCCCCGTTACGTAATCCATGCGTCGTTACGTCACGTCCCCCCCTCGCAGACCCCCTTTAACGTTGCGCGTCGTGACGTCGCTCGCTCGCTCGCCCGCCCCAACCCACCGCAATTGCCGTGCGTGATGACGTCACCGACCGTGCGCGCCGACGTCACGTCCGGTCCTTTACCACGCGGCCAGCAACCAAGAAGGCGGCCGCCACCACAGCCGGAGCCAAACTACAGCCAGACAACAGCCAGACAGCAGCCCGCAAGCAGCCAGACAGCAGCCAAGCAACAGCCGCAAGCAGCCAGCAGCGATGCCCGGGAAGATCTTCGCCGAGCTGGAGGGTACTACGGCGGCGCCCACGACGGTGAGCGGCGCTGGGCCCTCGGGCCTGCACTGCGCTAGGAGAGTGCCGGGCCCGCACAGACCCCGCGTCTCCTATCCTCTACCACAGTACTAGAGCCCCCCCCCCTTTGTACTGTACTAGAGCCCCCCCACTTTGTACTGTACTAGTGCCCCCTCGTACTGTACTAGAGCCCCCCCTTTGTACTGTACTAGAGCCCCCTTGTACTGTACTAGAGCCCCCACTTGTACTGTACTAGAGCCCCCCTTTGTACTGTACTAGAGCCCCACCTGTACTGTACTAGAGCCCCGCCCCCTTTGTACTGTACTAGAGCCCCACCTGTACTAGAACCCCACCTGTACTGTACTAGAGCCCCCATACTGTACTAGAGCCCCGCCATTTGTACTGTACTAGAGCCCCCCGTACTGTACTAGAGCCCCGCCCCCTTTGTACTGTACTAGAGCCCCCCCCTGTACTGTACTAGAGCCCCCCTTTGTACTGCACTAGAGCCCCCCTGTACTGTACTAGAGCCCCGCCCCTTTGCACTGTACTAGAGCCCCCCGTACTGTACTAGAGCCCGCCCTTTGTACTGTACTAGAGTCCCCACTTTATACTGTACTAGAGCCCCCCTTGTACTGTACTAGAGCCCCACCTGTACTGCACTAGAGCCCCCTTGTACTGTACTAGAACCCCACTTGTACTGTACTAGAACCCCTTGTACTGTACTAGAGCCCCACCTGTACTGTACTAGAGCCCCCTGTACTGTACTAGAGCCCCCTGTACTGTACTAGAGCCCCCCTGTACTGTACTAGAGCCCCCTGTACTGTACTAGAGCCCATCTTGTACTGTACTAGAGCCCCTTATACTGTACTAGAGCCCCACTTGCACTGTACTAGAGCCCCCTGTACTGTACTAGAGCCCCTTGTACTGTACTAGAGCCCCCTTCTACTGTACTAGAGCCCCACTTGTACTGTACTAGAGCCCCACTTGTACTGTAATAGAGCCCCTTGTACTGTACTAGAGTCCTGCTTGTACTGTACTAGAGCCCCTTGCACTGTACTAGAGCCCCACTTGTACTGTACTAGAGCCCCTTGTACTGTACTAGAGCCCCTTGCACTGTACTAGAGCCCCACGTGCACTGTACTAGAGCCCCACTTGTACTGTACTAGAGCCCCACTTGTACTGTACTAGAGCCCCTTGTACTGTACTAGAGCCCCTTGCACTGTACTAGAGCCCCACTTGCACTGTACTAGAGCCCCACTTGTACTGTACTAGAGCCCCCTTCTACTGTACTAGAACCCCCCCCCCCTGTACTGTACTAGAGCCTTTTTGCACTGTGTGTGGGCCCCCCATGCACTGTACTAGCCCCCCCCCCCCCCCCCCGTGCTAGCCCCCCCCCCGTACTGGTACTGTTCTAGCGCCCCCACCCCCGTACTGTACAATCCCCTTACTGTAAAGCACCCCCACCCCCCGTACTGTACAATCCCCTTACTGTAGAGCACCCCCACCCCCCCGTACTGTACTAGCGCTCCCAACAGCCGCCTGTAGGGGGAGCTGCTGCGCTGGTCTGTGGCAGTGTCTGCTGTGTATTAACAAAAAGAGACATCACTATCTGGGTGTGTGGCTGTGTATTGACAACAAGAGACATCACTATCTGGGTGTGTGGCTGTGTATTAACAAAAAGAGACATCACTATCTGGGTGTGTGGCTGTGTATTAACAAACAGAGACATCACTATCTGGGTGTGTGGCTGTGTATTAACAACAAGAGACTTCACTATCTGGGTGTGTGGCTGTGTATTAACAAAAAGAGACATCACTATCTGGGTGTGTGGCTGTGTATTAACAAAAAGAGACATCACTATCTGTGTGTGTGGCTGTGTATTAACAAAAAGAGACATCACTATCTGGGTGTGTGGCTGTGTATTAACAAACAGAGACATCACTATCTGGGTGTGTGGCTGTGTATTAACAAAAAGAGACATCACTATCTGGGTGTGTGGCTGTGTATTAACAAAAAGAGACATCACTATCTGGGTGTGTGGCTGTGTATTAACAACAAGAGACATCACTATCTGGGTGTGTGGCTGTGTATTAACAAAAAGAGACATCACTATCTGTGTGTGTGGCTGTGTATTAACAAAAAGAGACATCACTATCTGGGTGTGTGGCTGTGTATTAACAAACAGAGACATCACTATCTGGGTGTGTGGCTGTATATTAACAAAAAGAGACATCACTATCTGGGTGTGTGGCTGTGTATTAACAACAAGAGACATCACTATCTGGGTGTGTGGCTGTGTATTAACAACAAGAGACATCACTATCTGGGTGTGTGGCTGTGTATTAACAAAAATAGACATCACTATCTGGGTGTGTGGCTGTGTATTAACAAAAAGAGACATCACTATCTGGGTGTGTGGCTGTGTCTGCTGTGTATTAACAAAAAGAGACATCACTATCTGGGTGTGTGGCTGTGTATTAACAAAAAGAGACATCACTATCTGGGTGTGTGGCTGTGTATTAACAAAAAGAGACATCACTATCTGGGGAGACGGGTGGCCGAGGCCTGATGTTGGTGCCGGGGCCCACACACAACACACACACACACCCCCTACATACACACCCTACACACACACCCCCTACATACACACACCCTACACACACACCCCCTACATACACACACCCTACACACACACCCTACACACACACACACCCTACACACACACACCCTACACACACACACCCCCTACACACACACACACACACCCTACACACACACTCCCTACACACACACACCCTACACACACACTCCCTACACACACCCTACACACACACACCCTACACACACACTCCCTACACACACACACCCTACACACACACTCCCTACACACACCCTATACACACACCCTATACACACACCCTATACACACACCCTACACACACACACACCCTACACACACACACCCTACACACACACACACACCCTACACACACATACCCTACACACACACACACCCTACGCACACACACCCTACGCACACCCTACGCACACCCTATACACACACACCCCCCCCTACACACATACCCCTTACATACACACACCCTCGTGTGCCACTGAGCTAGGACATCACTTGGCCCTGACAGCTGGGGGGCTGGAGGCTATACCCGGGCGATTTATTTCAGCGTTGGCTCCAGCCAAGTTTTGAGTGAGACTTTCCCCCCCCCGCCGCCCTCCCTATGAAAGTTGAAGGCACCCTGAGCCCACCGATTGGAGTTTTTTTCTGTGTTGAGCCAAAGCCCCGCTGCTGCATAATGACTGCTGCATAATGACGTCGACGATGATGACAATGCACCATTGAGGGCGGCCAGGGTTGGTGGGTCACGCGTGGATTGTCCCCGTGCACTGAATCCCCAGCTGCACGGTGGGTAGCGGGGATCGTGGTGGAGATGTAGTTATTTGTATCCTTACCCCACGGTGTTCCCCGCGAAGGCGCAGCCTTACGTATACACATTGGACGGCAGAGCTCGGTGGCTATGAGATGTTAACTACCTCGCCAGGTATGTAGGAGGTCGTGGGTTCGATCCCAACTCTGACCATGCCTGCTGCTGTATGTTTGAAGTTTGCGTCTCTCATCACCGCGGTGGCTATGAGATGTTAACTACCTCGCCAGGTATGTAGGAGGTCGTGGGTTTGATCCCGACTCTGACCATGCCTGCTGCTGTATGTCTGAAGTTTGCGTCTCTCATCACCGCGGTGGCTATGAGATGTTAACTACCTCGCCAGGTATGCAGGAGGTAATGGGTTCGATCCCAACCCTGACCATGCCTGCTGCTATATATTTGGGTATTGCTTTCTCTCATCACCACGGTAACTATGAGATGTTAACTACCTCGCTAGGTATGCAGGAGGTCGTGGGTTCGATCCCAACCCTGACCATGCCTGCTGCTATATATTTGGGTATTGCTTTCTCTCATCACCACGGTAACTATGAGATGTTAACTACCTCGCTAGGTATGCAGGAGGTCGTGGGTTCGATCCCAACCCTGACCATGCCTGCTGCTATATATTTGGGTATTGCTTTCTCTCATCACCACGGTAACTATGAGATGTTAACTACCTCGCTAGGTATGCAGGAGGTCGTGGGTTCGATCCCAACCCTGACCATGCCTGCTACTGTATATTTTGAGTCTGCGTCTCTCATCGTCACCACGGTAGCTCTGAGATGACCGAAGCCATATTAATCGGCTCCCCTCTGCATCTTTCTTAAATTGGTTCATCTCGTATGTTGAATTATGATCACAATGTCAGTCCGACACAAGAGGTAAGAAACCTTAAAGGTACATTTTTGAGCAGAGGCACACGTTTATAAGGTGGTTAAAATGCCCTTTTTCCACCTAAGAAATGTTGCCAGAATGCATCACTTCTGCCAGAATACATCACTTCCTGTCACCTGCTGACTTGGAGAGACTGGTCCATGCTTTTGTGTTATCCTGACTGGACTACTGCAACGCCGCACTGGTTGGGATACCAAGCAGAGTACTGGGCAGACCCCAGTACTCTGCAGAATGCAGCCGCTCGAGTGCTTACATCACGTACACCATTCTGTGAGCACATTACACCGGCGCTCTTATCCCTTCATTGGCTGCCGGCCACATTGCGAGTGGATTTTAAGATGCTGCTATTAACCTATAAGGCTTTTTAAGGGCTCACCCCACATTATTTGCAGGAACTAATACACATATATTACATCGAGGTCCTTAAGATCTACTGATCTCCAACTGCTCAGCACTCCAAGGTCTAGGGTTGCGCTCTTTTGGCGATTGGTGCTTTTGTTAGCGTGCCACCCACAAGCTATGGAACGCCTTGACACTTAAAATCAGAAAATCAAGAGTCAGTAGAAATATTTAAGTCTGCTTTGAAAACCCATCTCTTTAAAGTGGCCTTCCCTCTTTAGTTTGGTCGGTTGCCCTGGTTCTGTTTTTATTTCCTGATTTCCATGCATTGCTCATTGCAGTCCTAGGATGGAATGCTACACATTTGAATTATTATAATTGCAACTACCTGGTCTGGTATGCAGGAGGTCAAGGGTTCGATACCAACCCTGACAATGCCTGCTGCTGTATATTGTGGAGTCTGCATCTCTCTCTCTCTCTCTGCCCATGGTCTCGTGGATTTTTCTCTCCAGGTCCTCCGGTTTTTCCCCCCAACATTTAGAATCGACATGACGAGCTTAGATTATTTCGATAATTTTGTTGCTGCTATAAATTTCCATGTGATGATCAGCCACTCCGTTGAGCTGTCTTTTGTGATGGCCAGGTCACTTCTGATATATTAGCTACTCGCTTTACTACCCGGCTTCGCCCGAGACTTGGATTCTTGTCTTGGATTAATAGACGGCCTACGGCGAGGGTTTGGGTGGGGGGGGTGCGTGACGTCAGCAGGCACACTGCGTGACGCTGCCGCATGCGGGTGACATCACAGATGTGACGTCACCGCTCACTTGCCATGCAAAATATATCCATTATTGCGCCCCCCCCCGCCCACCAAAATACAAAAGTCTATTTTTATACTTTTTGCATTGTGTACAGTCTGGAAGCTCCCCACATGCCAAATTTTAAGTTTGTTGCATGTCGGGAAGTACTCTAAACATTTCGAACAGACACACATATCCATACATTTCCCTTTTATATATAAAGACAAAGCTCAGTGGGATTTACCTGTTAAGATAAAAAAAATATAATTTTATTTGTATATTTTCTTAAAGTGATTTGTTTACCTTTCCTTCACTGTTGCTCTCCTTTCGTGCTGTTGTATCGTGTTGTTGTACCGTGTTTGTTGTTGTAACGTTGTGGCTACCCAGTGTGCCCCGACTGGACCCATCTTTCACAAAAAAGCTTCATAGCTCATCGTACCCGTCCTGCGGCGTCAACGGAATGTTGTGATTGTGACGTTGCAAGACGCTCCGTGTTCCCGGATGTTAGGAGCCGAAGAAGGTGAAGGGAGAAAAACGGCGGAGGCAGAAGGGAGGAGACGCAGAGACCACGATGGAGGAGGAGAAAGAGAAGGAAACACCGGAGGAGGTGAAGAGAGCGAAGAAGGCAAAGAAGAGAGAGAGACGCCAGGAGGAGGAGGAGGAGACACAGACCATCCCTGAGAAGGTGAGATGCAGGGAGAGAAAGAAGAGACGCGGGGAGAGAGATGCTGGGAGAGAGATGCTGGGAGAGAGAGACGTGGGGAGAGAGAGATGTGGGGAGAGAGAGAGACACATGAGGAGAGAGACACGTGAGGAGAGAGAGACGTGCGGAGAGAGACACGTGGGTAGAGAGAGACGTGGGGAGAGAGACACGTGGGTAGAGAGAGACGGGGAGCGAGAAACGCGGGGAGCGAGAGACGCCGGTTGAGAGACGCGGGGAGAGAGACACACGGGGAGGGGGAGGAAGAGGAGACGGGGAGAGAGAGACGTGGGGAGAGAGACACACGGGGAGGAGGAGACGGGGAGAGATATGCGAGGAGAGAGAGAGACACGGGGAGAGAGACTCACGAAGAGAGAAAGACACGGGGAGAAAGAGACCTGGAGAACTGGGTCTCTGCATGCACCTAGCCTGGCACGGACTGCATGGTGATGTTACTGTATGCTGCCTCCCACAGTCTCCAAAGAAAAAGAAGAAGAGAAAGAGCGAGGAGAGTGAAGAAGCACAGGTGATGGTGGCGACGGTGCTGATTGATGGTGCTGATTGATGGTGCTGATTGATGGTGCTGATTGATGGTGCTGATTGATGGTGCTGATTGATGGTGCTGATTGATGGTGGTGATTGATGGTGGTGATTGATGGTGGTGATTGATGGTGGTGATTGATGGTGGTGATTGATGGTGGTGATTGATGGTGGTGATTGATGGTGGTGATTGTAGTGATGGTGTTGATGAAAGTGGTCATGATGGTAACGATGTTGATGATGACATTGGTGATGATGGTGGTAGTTATTTGGTGGCGGTAACGGTGATGATGGTGGTGGCAACGATGATGATGACGATGGAAACTGCTTCATTAGCCCGCGATCAACGAACCCTCTGGGAACAAAAAATGAAGACCATAAAAAATAAATATCTTCAGAAAAGCGATTCAAAGGAGTCAAAATTTAAACGTGTTCAGAGTATTTGCTGCTGTACATTTCCACGTGATGTTGATGACGACAACCACTTTGTTGAGCTGCAACCTCGTGGCCGATGATATCGGCCACTTGGGTGACCTATCACTTGTGATGGCCAGGTGGTCACTTCTGAAGAAGAGCTACACCTGGTATAAGTAATATTTTTTAAAAAAGTTTTTTAAAACACGCTTTAATGAAATGTACCGTACGAGTAACGGCAGAACTCCACGACTCCAGGAAGTGGCCTCGAAGCTTGCCACAACGTAAGGAACCCGTGGTGATTTACAGCCAACGTGAGTTGAGTGTGGACAATTAGACCCAAGCCGAAACACGACATATAAAAAAGAATGTTTTCAAAATATTTTTAAAATTTGTAATGATAGAATATAGTATTGTCATCAGTAAGACATAAGTAGTTCATTTCATAGTTCATAGTTCATTTATTTGGTATAGCCCTGTGAGCCATTCGGCTCTTGAATCAGGTGCAACCGCAACAAACAAAAAACATGAACAAGAAAACATCTTAAAGTGATTATGTGACTGTGCAAACAGAAAATACAGGAAAAAAATATCAAAATATTCCTGAAATAGCACCGTACACCAACGCTGTGTGCAAAAATCCCAGTGGGATGCAAGTCAAATAACAACAACAACCACAAGACAACTAAGATTAAGGCCATCAGTCTAACTCCGTACTACAATAAACAAAAACATGACCAAAACAAAAAAAAATCGAAATCACCAAAATAAAAGCCATAAATCCAATGTAACAGTGATCATAGGGACTGTGACCGAATTTTTAACAATAAACTACATAAATAAATTATAACACCAAAATCTAGAGCCATATTTTAGGCCACTGAATAGCTGTGGCAGCTAGGGTTGTACAACTCCTCTAGAGCAGTTTTGAGTTAAGATCTCATAGGTAGTGATTCAAGTTGCAGTTTATTGGCAATAGCATTCCAGACCCTGGGGGCATCAATAGCAAAGGCCCTTCCTCCAATTTTTGTACGGCAATAGGGAATGTGAAGCTGGTAAATGAGCGAAGACCTGAGGTCAAATTTGTTCTTTGAAACAGAGAGGAGATCCAGTAGGTAGTCTGCAGAATTTTTTGTAAGTACATCGTGAATAAATAAGATCTGGTGCACAAGCCGTCGAACATTAAGAGATGTTAAGTTTGACCCAATGTAGAGAACACAGTGGTGAGTCCTATATGGGCAGTTCAATGCAAATCTTAAGGTCGAGTGATAGATGGAATCAAGCTTCTTCAGTACAGTACTTGGGGCTGATTTATACACGATGTCACAGTAGTCAAGTAGAGGCAGTATGGTAGCTTTTATCAATTCCAAACGGAATATTGGGGGGAAGCAGTGCTTGTGTCGATACAGAAAACCAATTTTTGTCTTTTTACCAATATAATCAATGTGATCTTCAAAACTAAGTTTTGAATCCAGGATGACCCCAAGATACTTATAGATCTTGACTTGCTCTATTTGATAATTATTCAAGGAATGTAATTGGGGAAAAATAACTTCCTGCTTTAGTCCCGGAGAGAAGCATAGCACCTTGGTTTTGGAGGTATTCAGGACTAGTTTAAGAGAAACTAGCTGATGTTGTAGTTTGTTCAAATCACCCTGGAGCTTAGCAATCACGTTAGCCGGAGAGCGGCCAGCAGTAATCAGTATCGTGTCATCTGCAAAAAGATTTACCCTGGAATGATCCAGTTCAGTGCCCAAGTCATTGACATAAAGAGAGAACAAGAGGGGGCCGAGGATTGAACCCTGTGGAACCCCTTTTGTTATCTTAACACTGTTTGACCTCCAACCATCTGTGAATACAGTTTGGGTGCGAGAAAAGAGGTAATTTTTTAACCATTGTACTGTGTTCTCGGAAAAACCGAGGCAACTTAGTTTACTAAGCAGGGTGATGTGGTCAACTGTATCAAAAGCTTTGGACAGGTCAAGAAAAAGACAGGCACAGTACTGCTTATTATCAAGGCTACTGTAAATTTGATTCAAAGAGTCTAATGCAGCAGATGTGGTGCTGTATTTTTTCCGGAACCCAGATCGTTTTAGATGTAGTAGATTGTTGGTGGACAGGAAACTGCTAATTTGGTAGTTCAATAATTTTTCAAAAATTTTCATCAATGGGGACAAAATTGAGATAGGTCGGTAGTTATTGGGATCATCTTTAGGGCCCCCTTTGTGAAGTGGACGGACATAGGAATGTTTCCATTCTAGAGGAACTGATGCTTCTTTGATGGACAGGTTGAAAATATGGGCTATAGGTTTGTATATTAGGTGACCAACAGTTAGTAGAGCAAAGACGGGAAAACTATCTGCTCCGGTAGAGGAGGACCCTTTGAGGTAGGACAGTTGTTTCAGAACATTACTTTCGTGGATTGGTTGGAAACTAAATTCGTTTAATGTTTGGACAGGGGTGTAGGAATTTGCAGGAGCAGGGGTGACTCCCAATACATTATCAAAAAGATTACCAGCTTCAGAAAAATGAAGGTTAAAATTGTCAAATATTTTTTTGGGATCTGAAAAATATTCCCCATTTCGGTGAAGCTCAACGGGCAGATTTTCTGTTTTGGATGCCTTTTCGATAGATTTGATTGTTTTCCAAAAAATCCTGGCATTTCCATGTGATTCCAGGAGAGTGGAGGAAAAATAGGCATTTTTTGCATGCCGTATTTTTTTACGCTCTATTCCTTAAAATCCTGTATTCTAGCCAGTCATTTACCAAATTACTTTTCTGAGCACATGCCCAAGCCTTGTCCCTAGTTTTCATGAGCTTTGTAATCAAAGGACCATACCATGGTGGGCGGTTGCCTTTAGTTTTAAATCTAACCGGAGCATGTTAAGAATTTGGAGAAACGTGTACCTGAAAGTCTCCCAAGCCGTAGTCAGGTTGGGGATATCACAGACCTTATCAATATCCGAGTGAAGCACATCATTTGTAAATGCCTGAGTGCGGAAGTGCCTCAAAGAGTGCTTCTCAACAATTTTAGGGGGGGCTTTGGGTCTGGCTGATGATCTCACACCAAAAATGAAGGAGTGATCACTAAGGTTATTACCCAGAACACCAGTCAGTGCGAAATTGTGAGGGGCATTTGTCAATAGGACGTCAAGCAGAGTTGACTGTCCCGGATTTTTTAGGTTGGGTCTTGTGGGGACATTTATTAATTGAAACAAGTTAAATTCATCTGTAAAATTTGTGGCCACGGCCGGCAGGTTTAGCCAATTCCAATTTAGATCACCCACTAAAATTATTTCATCTTTAGGGAGGCCCCCAAAAAGCTCTCTCAGTGCCGATGCAGCTTCAACATCCTTCCCACAAAGGCGGTCTATAGCAGCACACTACCAATATCTGTTGATTATTTGGGAGAGTTATTCTGAGAGCCAGACCTTCAAAGCAACATTTTTTAAACACATCGGGAAGTGGGTTAAAATGGAGTTACAAGATTTGAGGATACGGCAACAACAACAACAGACAGAGTGAGTTAAATAAAAGCATGTAATGAATAAAAAATAGTTATGTTGTAGATATTTGTTGCCGGCACAGCTCCCCCCAGACCGGAACGCTACGCCACGAGTCACCAGGCAATCAGAGGCACTCACGTTATTACTTGAATCTCTCTCTGAGCATAATGAAGTTTTTATTTTCGGTCAGATCGCATAAATATAAAACGTGTCGTTAAAAACGAAACTCAATGACTTATCAACTATTGTTATTTTATATTACCAGGTAAGGCCCCACTGGGCTAAGCAGCTATTGTTTCAGAAGCGACCTGGCTATCGCAAATGCTTGCTCAACGGAGCGGCTTATCATCATCACCACGTGGAAATGTACAGCAGCAAAATGCTCTTAAACGCACGATGTTGATTCTGAACGTGGAGGGAAAAACCGGAGGACCCAGAGAAAAATCCACGTGATCACGGGGCGAACACGCACACTCCAAATACACAGGTGTCGGGGTCGAGGTTACATACCAGGCGAGGGAAATAACATCTCCAAGCCAGCCACCGAATGAAGGCTGGCACAGCGCAAGCGTTTAAGAGTATTTCGCTGCCGCTATAAATTTCGACACGATGATGAACCACTTCGTTGAGCTGCTATCATTTGTGATAGCCAGGTGGTTGCTTCTGAAAATAATAAGTAATATTTAAAAATACTTTTTTAAAAACACGCTTTAATGAAATGTACCGTACTGGTAATGGCAGAACTCCAGGAAGTGGCCCCGAGGCTTGCCAAAACATAAGGGACCGTGGTGATTTACAGCCAACGTGAAATGAGTGTGGACAATTAGACCCAAGCCGAAACATAACGTTTAAAAAAGATTGCTTAAAAATATATATACTTTTATTTTTAATAATAGAATATCGCGTTGTCATCAGTATGACATAAGTATACCAAGTTTGCAGTCGATACCACATTGGGAAGTGGATTAAAATTTAGTTGCAAGATTTGAGGATACAACAACAGACAGTGAGTTGAATAAAAGCATGTAAGAAGACTAGTTTATAACAACAACAACAACAGAGTGAG